TAAGCTTTTTTTTGTCAAAACCCTGCCGCAAACGCAATTTTCGAAAGTATACCGAAACGTTTTTCTCTGAACGCATGAAGTTTTTTTTCTTTTTGTTTCCCGCTCGGATGGGTATCTGTTTCACAATTGGTTTTTTTTTGTTTCTCTTCCAACTCGAACAGCTTTGAAATATCAAAACACGCGTGCAATTATATAAGTCTCACCAGCAGTTATTGGAAAAGTAAAAACGAAACAAAAAGGTTTGCTTACTGCTTTTGCAGTTGGTAAAGTTCATTCGGGTACGAGTGCACAAATATGACAGAAGTAATAATTCAAGTTAGAGGAAAGCGAGGCGTGATGGCCAGATTTTTATTTTTTCATTATTATTTCTACAATAATCGGGTAAACTTGAAATCAATGGGTTTCATCTTAAAGAGGTAAATTTGAAGATTATAAAACAATTTCAAATAGTATTTGACGATATATCATTCAGATAACTGTTAGTTATTTCAGGCTTGATCAAATTACACATGTAGGATAATAAGCCATAGTATCTCTTATATATTTTTTGTAAATCAAGCAATTGGTTTCATAGAAAGTTTTACAGCTTCTGACTAATAATCCTCTATGTTGAAAAAATGATTACAACCGCATAATAATGTATCGTGTCAGTGTTTTAGTTATACGCTGAATTGTTTATTTGTAAAATTATATCTATTGTTAAATCATATATTTATTCATAATGTGCCACTTTGCGACCGTGACACTTCCTTGCCCATTGTTTCAAAGTGTATCTGCACAAATAATTTATTTTTGGTGTCACAAACGCAACGCAAACATTGATTTGATTAAAGTTTGACAAATAGGTTGCAACCGCAGCATGACTTTTCTATCTCAATTTAAAGCTTAAAGTGGGATAATTCGTAAAACTTGTTTCTAACGCAACGCAGCCACTGCAATCGGCACTACCGCCAAAGAATTTCGCATGATTAGCGCATTTCTAACATCTGTTAACAGATGCTTACCAAAGATTCTAAACTCAAAAGTAAATAGAAATAGAGCTTGCGCAGTCTTTTGAATAAATTTTGCTTCAGCCGCGGAGCATCTCGCGGCAGCTGCAGTTCATTGACCCGGGGCTCTTCAAAAGAGCTCGCTCGTTTGGCCCACTGTAAGCGCGATAGTCATACACACACGAATACGTATTACAAGAGTGTGTTACTTAGTAGATAGACAGCGCGTTCAGCACTCAGTTTAATTTTTTGAAAAGTTTCGCGGAGCTATATATTACGAGTAGTTTTATTCACGTTTTTTTGTTAAACGGTCTCTTAGGCTGCGCTCTTTCATCAGAAGAAGCGTAGATAATACATAGTTTCAGTCAACGGAGCGCAGCCGCTGTTACCGCCGCCACCGCCACTGCACTGGTGTACAGCATATCGTAATTTTCGCGAGCGATCGCAGGCCGTAAAATAAAATCGTTATAATACTCTGCGACGACCGTGTGCCTCTCTCGCCGACACGAACCACTTAGACGCACACAAGACTGTGCAATTACGTTTGTGCGTATTCGCGTTTTAAAAGGTCAGTGGGATATGCCCGACGACGACGACGGCTGATGACTTGTCTCGTCGTGGCTGAATGCTGCTGCAGTTTTCTTCGCGATGCGCTGCAGTTCACGCAACGACGCCGCGCGGTAATGAAACAATTGAGCGAAACGACTACCACGAATGTTTTCAGCTCGTATAATTTTCACTCCAGTCGAGATGCGACAATGCAAACGTGTCGACGAGGTACTTAAATAGAGTACGTAGCGTACATCAAACTGCATCTCTTTTCTGTTATAAAGATATCAATTCCGTAAAATTGCTGATTTACAAAGCGATCGTCTGGTGATTCAAGAGTAGACTCATAATCGGAAAATTGAGACGCAGTGTTGTGCTTCTTTATTAACAAAACTTAATAATACTAAAATAGGATTGTCCATGTTTAATATGAATAATACAGCAATTCAAAATAACTCGAGTTATATCAAAAAATTATTTCTATTTCTGGAAAATAAAAATAAAAAGTTACTCATAATAAAATACTTCAAATATTATCTGGAATATCTTATTTTTAAATAAATTCCTCTGAGAAGTTGATTCACCCTGTTCGGGATGGTTCACCAGTTTCTTTCGAAGCGTTAAAAAAGTTAATTGTACCCTGCCGATTGCGTGACTCCAAGTATCACTCTTTGTATATAATTTTCTCAACTTCAGAACGAAAACTTACACTTTCATATTCTCTTACTTTATACAGTAATTAATTTTCAATTATATATCTTTTATTCTCACTAACATTGATAATATTTCATTTTGAGCGTATTGCTTTTGCTTTCGTTCATATTTGAAAAAAAAAATTTAATTACAAATTTGCTGTTGCATTGTTTTATTATTCGTTATGATTGCAGACGTGCAATCACGTAGAATTTTATTTTCATCCTATCATCTTAGAATGGCGAGCATTCCAAAAACGCAGCAGCGCACTTGTTTACTTCAATTTTGTTTTTGAAAATTTTCTGTCGCATTACGAAAAAACTCGTTATTTTTTTTATTACATTTGTAAGTTAGCTTTAGATAATTCCTGTAACATTACCAGTAGTAATGACATTTACGGTCATACTGAAAATAATTAAAAATTTAAAAATAACCTGTTTCAAATTAAAAAATCTATCAAGTATAAACAAAGTTAAACAAAAATCATCCCGAGTAATTAGCTAGCAGAAAATTATTAATACATCGAACTCCTAACGACTTTTTAACTGATTCACTTTTATGCACTCTGCTGTACGAGTGTATGGAGATCATTCAACCGTACGAATTTCATAAAGAGCAATAACAATTACTTTTACGCTTGGTAGACCTTGACATAGATGAGTGAGTGTCATTTGTTATAATAAATGGTCATTCGAATGAGATGTTATCTCGCGCGAGCTTGGAATCAGAACCAACGTATTAACACTTTTCTCTTAGTTGCACAATCCATATTCAAACACTAGTTTTTTATCCTATGGTTTTTGCTTGATCGGAAGATCATGAATTATTGAGCTACAATTTTTAAATGATATTATTACTTACTAAGCAATTCTGGAAGTACCTTGTCTATGTGCTTGTCATTTGATTATTAGTCTCGTGAGTGCATAATCATCTATTTTGCATTAAATAGCGTACTTTGAGTGGGTACCTACCCGTGAAATAAGTCAGCGACCGTGTGACACAAACTACGAAATGATTCAACGGGCAAAAATTTGAAGATCTCGATTTTTCATGGTTACGCGAAGCATTCGTGTGCATTGAAAATCTGTTGCCACACGTATTCGTACAAATGAATAAAAAAATTATCTTCTGTGTACAACATCTGTCCAGAAATTTTTTTGTATTCGACGGTGCGCAGTGCAGGTTTATTTGACTCTAACGCTTAGCATACTTTTTTTTTATTTACAACTGATATGAATCTCGTTACCGCGAGTATATTTCATATTATTTTTGTACCTACCAGATTAACTGCTACAAGTTCAATAACGTAAGTCTCGATTTTCAGCAGATAAAATATTTACATTGACATATTTACATAAGGTTTGTTTAATAACATGCTGTAAAAATAGTTGAAAGAATTTATGTGTCATTTCTCGTTTTATCTCACGAATTATACAACGAGTACTGCATTATTATTATTATGTAATGAAAAAACGATGTTCAACTTTTGTAAATAAGCGATCAATTTTATGTAAATGACGAATGTTGGTGCTTCGATAAAAAATATTTTTTTTCAATGTATAATTATATAATAAATTGGAAGTGTTCTCTTGGTTTCAAGTTTCCTTCGCTTATATTATCAAATACAATGTAATGCATTATATTGAGATTAACGAACTAAGATTTTGCATGCGTTTTAACATTTAAACTTTTTTAAACGAAACTTGTGTTAAATTTGATATTCAATTTTATGTACATTAGATATAAATTTAACAAAATGATATCTTACATAAAATCAGATTTATAGTCACCGAAATGATTTGACATTTGGCACTAATCCAGAATGAAAATTAACAAACTGCAAGTTATTCACAAACTCGAGAAATTACTAATTGTCACGTGAACATACATTCTAATATAAATCAAAGATCAGTACATTGACCCATATTTTCATCAGCTGACTTTCTAGGAACCACTAACAAATAGATATTTTTACTACCCTTGAACGCGCTTATATCATCAAAGAATTATTTAGATTTCTTTGTATTACAAACAAAAACAGTATTTTCCGTTCTATTCAATTGAACAAACCAAACTCGTAGGATTGTTACAAAACTAAAAATTGGCACTGCACATGAATTCAACTCAGTTACGTAAGTAAGCGCTCTGATGTAGAATCACGCATAATTACCGATTCATTTTCTCTCTATGAATGATTCGAGCAATAGCTTCTGCAGCGCTAATGAACGAATTGCACATACATATCCTTTGCTAATAAGCTACAGCTGTGGATAAGTCAATATTAATTCACAAGACAAGAAAGAGAGAAATATATAGGCGGCAAAATAATGTATATATTGCAGAGAAGAGCCAACGGCTGCAGGTAAAAAGTCTTGCGTGCATATATTTGTAAGCTGCAGTGTAAAGATTTTTTGCGGAGCTCGTTGATTTTTGAGCCTAATTATAACGCAAGAGTTGAGCGAGACGCGCGTTGTCCTTGGTGGCAGCATAGCTTTTCACTTCGCTTTTTATCATTTATTAAAAGATGGGGAAAAAATCTTCAAGTAATATATGTTGTAGCAATAATACCAGAAATGTTTGAATACCTATAATGAATCATTAATCTGATCACTTGGATGCTTAATCGTTACCGATTCGAAAAAAACATTAATCTTTGCCGAGTTATCGTTTAAATGGAAAATAAAAACCAACGTGTTTGCGTAAAAGTATTCAGCGTCTTCTGTAACGAATATTTTTGCAACAATTTGAACAATGAATTTCGGATTGCAGGTGACGAAAAAAATTGAAAAGGTGGCGCAGGAAGGAATTCCGCGCGGGTACAGAAACAGCTAAGCGACGATGTGGTGGCCGGGTCAGCTGGTACTGCTGCTGGCGTTGCTGTCGTCCCGCTGGCAGACGGCGCTCACCCAGACCTCGCAAAATCCTCGCCTCGGAGCCGCCGTCAACGTGTTCAGCCGTTACGGCTACCTCAGCATCAGTCTGCGCGTAGTGCCGCGCAACGATACCGACTCCTGGATATTTCGTGAGCCAACTCTGGACGTCTTCCAGAATCCTCAATCGGCGCCGCCCAAGCAGAGCAAGGCGGCCATGGTGTTCGACGGCGATTTCCACATGGAGTTCTGCGACAACGTTAGGCAATTGCTACAGGTGAGTCGACACATTTTGCTTCCTCGACGAGGAGAGCTTGAGCTGGAATATATAATACACTTCGACCGGTATGAGAGCGCAAGTATTTTAATTTTCATTTGAAAAATTTTGGATTTTTTGGATATGCTCGAATGCAACTAAAAATATGACAGTTGCTCGGTAATCAGATGTGAAATTGCTGATTGTATAACATTTTTCAAGGCTATGAAGACGAAATTGTTTGATTGTAAAGTTGATAAATAAACGTGTTAATCGTGTGACACGTATTCGGATATGAACTGATTAAACCACGAGATATGTAAAATTCAAAACAAACGGCAAGTTCTTCGACCCTCGATTCGTCGTATTTTCGTTTGAATTCATCTATAATACTTCTCAAACAGTTGTCATCGCTCGTAAGTAGATCATGTTGTGAACTATGAAAATCGTTAAATCTGAGGGTAGTGAAGCAATAAAAATTTCATATTTTACACAAAAAGTGTTGATAATTGATAATAGTTTTGTTTAATCGTATTGCAAAAATTTGTTACAATCAAAAGTAATCATCAGTTATTTGAAAATATAGTAAGTTTCATTGTGCCATTTTTATTTGTATAACGCACTTAAAAATCTTTCTTTTGATTGAAACCAAATCAATTATGCTCGCATCATTTGTAGATTTATTATAAATTGCTTATAAATCATTTTACAATTTTTAAACTGATAGAAAGTCTACATAAGGAATCTGTTAAAATAAGATCGATAGAAAATATTTTCAAATGATAAAGCAATGCTGCCTAATCACTGTTTTAGAAGTTACTGCATAATAAATACTAATTTTTTAACGATTTGATATAGCATCCACTTATTGGTTTCAATCATAGGAATTTTAAATGTTCGTATCATAGACATATTACAAAATAAAGTAAACAGATATGATCTTAATTTTTAGAGTTTTCATTGCTTTCATTATCTCGGTACCCCAAGTGGAGTACGATTAAGAACAATATGGATCGGTAAAAAAAATAATATTCTACTCAAATAATTTCAACTTTTATTCATCCTTTTAAGAAACCTAAATTAATATTTTAGAAAAGAGCACTGTTTGATTTGTCATCGCGAGGTAGAATCGCCTGAATTTCTGGGCGTAAAATTGGAGGCAAATGGCATTAATGCTTTGATAAGAGAAAGTGAAAAAAAGCGAGATCTCCTATACGAATATCTTACTGACGTGCAGGAAGGCTACGTACACAGACATTGCAAGTCGGATTATTTGAATGAAACAAGGTTGTTCTTGGCTGTGCAAGCTGCAAAGTCTAGAAGGCACAATAAACGGATCCTACAAGCACAAAAATTTGATTTTAAAAATTATTGTTTTTTTTGCAATGGAGTTATAAATGATGGTAAAGAATCTCTTATCTTAACCATAGATTCCCTAGAGATGCTAGAAGTCTACGCGGCTCAAGTAAATCTCGAACAACAAAATGAATATTTTGACACAATTAAGATACGTCTCTCAACATTACTAACGAAGGATGAAAAATACTTCGAAAAAAATCCAGTGTTTATCCATTGGAGGTGTTTACAAATATTTTACAAGTACCGCCCTCCCGATGCCGCAGGTGTAAAAACTGGAGCTGCAACAGATTTTTTTTCTTTTTGTGTATACTACCTAGAGAAAAATACCCACAGGTGTCAATTTAGTTTACAGACTATTTTAGATGCGTACTCGATGAGGTACGAATTAAAATCTGTCCAACCATACTTTCTCAAAACCAGCCAACGTTTGCAAGAGTATTATAACAAAGAAATAGTCATCTGCGATGAGGATTCTCCAGACTGCGTTGTAAATTTCAAAAACAGTGTAGAAAAGAATGATGTATTAAAATTATTGAATCTCCCTCGGGATTTGTTAAACAAAAGAGATGAAATTATAAAGTTGGCGGCTCACTTCATACTCGAAGATATAAGAGCGGAGAAGTATGGAACAGATTGTAAACCTATTAACATGAACTTGATGAGAGTAGAGAAAGATCTTCCCAATAGTTTGCGCATCTTCTTCAATACCTTGATTACCACTTACAAGAAAGACGTGCCAAATCAGGAGCAACAAAATTTACTGCTCAACAAAATGACCACTATAGGCCATATACTTATATCTGCAGTACGGCCGGAGTCGTACGCATCGTCTCTTTTGCTTGCGATTTCTACCATGTTGGAAAAAAATTTGCCACCTCAAGAGCTAATCACGCGTCTTCATAATATTGGACTCTGTGCATCGTACACTGACATGGTTGATTTTCAAGATCGCTTATATAAAGCCGACGTCTTCAGATATGATCAACAAAGTCAGGTTCAATTCGTATTTGATGATTTTGATTCCCTGAATCTAGCGCCAGGATCTTCGTACATGAGTGGTATCATGTGCGTAAAACCTACACCGCCCATTTCTATGACAGAAGACGTAGAATTTGATGCCAAAGAAATACAGTCGCTTCCTCTTTCTAATACAATGAATTACGAATTTAATAATAAGATACAAGTTGAGGATTTGAAAAAAATGGATTATATTGGAGTGCCGATAAGTATTAAGAGCACAGATTTGTTATGGTTTCTCAATAAAAGTGAGGAACCAAATTATATCGGCTGGCATGCCTTTAAAAGCGCTTGCTTCGACTCGAAGACTAACTCCGAACTTACCAAAGTGTATTCATTTCCTTTTGTCAAAATGTCACGGTTTCCTCAAGAAACTATCTTAACTCTCTTGACCGAAGCGAGACGAAGAACAAATTTGAACGGGCAATCAAAATGCTTTGTAACCTTTCAACCTCGTCGATACGTTCAAGCTATGGAAATTATAGCTGGTATTGATCCTAAAAAGGATCCTCTTAACTTGCGCTCGATCACAGTAAATTTGGGAACTCACCAGATCTTAAAATCCTTTCTTAAAGTTATAGGCACTGTAATGAAGAATTCTGGTTTGAGAGAAGCCCTCTTAACGATAAATAAAGAGGAAGAAACTGATAACATTTTGCAAGGAAAAGACTTTTCTCGGGCAATTAGAGCCCATTCCATGATTCAGCTGGTGATTGCGCACAAAATAATGACGCACGAAAATTTAGATGACGAAGAAAAAAAAATGTTGAAAAAAGCCAGAAAGCTGTACGCAAATAGCGATGAAGAAGTCCCTTACTTTGAACATATACTAAGAAAGCCCATGAAAAAGTTCATGGCCAAGCTCGAGTCGTACAGTAACGATTCCGAGACGGGCAAACTCTGGATACAGTATTTCAAATTAGTCCTTTTGATGAAAAGATTCATCGAAGCCGAGCGCGAGGGACATTTCAGAAAGAAAATCGAAGCTTTGTTCTGGATTACTCCGACTCTCTATGCCACTGGTCACCTCGAATGCGCGAAAGCCACTCACTTGTTCGTGCAGACTATGCTCCAGAGTAGACGTGACAGCGAGAGACAATTATTCGATAAGGCATATTATCAATTCAACAAACTGAAGCGCGGCTATGCATATTGGTCGGGTGTAGCGCCCGACAGATTACTCGAACTAACGCTCAAACAAGCTATACAGATGTCGAAAAAAGTTTTTCTCGAGGAGTCAATGACCAGCTTTGACGAAAGAACCGACGAAATATTTGGCCAAATAAAATTGCTGGAGCTGCTCCACGAGACACAGCTATTTTGTGGCATCAAATTCGAGGAAATGATCGACTGTCAAAATCCGCAGTATCCAGAAGATTCTTTTGATATTGAAAAATTGAAGGACTTCTTTGATCGTTGTAATATTTTTATCAAAGGCTGTGCTATTGTGAACATACATAGTAGCCAAGTTTATTTTGGAAGTAACATTAATGATGTCATAAATGTTGGAAAAAAAGCCATGAAGAAAATACTAATTAATACGTTTGACGAATTACCAACGGACCAAAATGTTCGTCATAATTCAATGTTAGATAAGTCGAAAAAAACCTTGGCATGCTTTCCTCAGCAAATTCATAAACGTTTCAAGCTTATGAAAACTGTGCCTCGTTCCATTGCAAAAAAGCTCACTACCTACGAACTTGCGCCCGTGCCTTTAGCCCTGTTCGATATAAATTACATGCACAGAGCCAATCCGACCGAGTTTTACGATAATTTCCTACCTAACACATACCTGACAACGGAACAATCGCGACAGGCAACGAATATCATCGATGGTGAGTATCTTCTTTGGAAGGTCGAATGGGTGCCCGGTGCAACGGTGGGACAGATAATAGAGGCCTACGCCGACTACTTGATGAAAAATTTCAGCGAAAAACCAACGATTGTATTTTCTAAACATCCAAAAAACAATTCGAATGCAGAACTTATGTCGGTAATCTATTATCGTCAGCAACAACTTGACAATGGAAAAGAAATATTAAATTTACAAGATTACATCGATGAAATATGTCCATTACCGAAGCATGAATTTTTGAAATGCGAGAAAAATAAAACACAGTTAATCAAGATGATGTACAAAGATCTGGAAGAGAAAGAATTAGCCCAGGTAAAATTCGCTTCCGATGACATCCACTTTGAGATGGTTCAGACTGCGATAGTTTATGCTCGCACAAATAAACCAAGACCGATACTTTTAGTTGGGAACGATATCGATATATTAGTAATTTTGGTTCAACTTGGAACTAATTTTGATACAGACGATCTCGCGTACATTTACTTCAAAAGAGAGAAGAAAGGAGCATCCTTGTTCTACAACCACAAATGTTTGAAAAACGAGAAACTAAACGAGATAATTGCGTTTGTGCACATATTTACTGGCTGCTCTACTACGTCAGCTTTTTACAAAAAGTCAAAAAATAAACTTGTGCGGGTATTTTCGATCAACAAATTGAAGAAGCTGGCCGCTCCATTTTACAAAGAAACGACGAACAAGGACGAGTTGTACGACGCCGCTTACACCCTCATCATCGGCATCTACGGCAACGAGGCCGAACTGTATCTGCGCGAAAAGATGCCCCACGATTTCTCGCTGAACGAGCTGCGCTACCTGATGTTTTGCAGAAACAACGTTCTCAAGACGGGTGCTTTCGAAGAGTTGCCACCAACGGAAGGCGCCGCCAAACAGCACGCCCTCCGGACCTATTCCCAATTGCGAAAATGGATTTACCCCGAAGTCGAACCGATCAATTGGGGATGGACCTCATGCAACGGTATGTTGGTGCCGGACATGACGGAGGAACTTTTGATTCCCATTGACTTGCCCATGCTGATCGCTTGTCACTGCGAAGATGGCTGCTCGAGCGACGAATGCATCTGCGTAAAAGGTGGTGTCTTCTGTTGCTTCCTCTGCCCGCCATGTCAACGGAAACTTTGCGCAAACACAAATCCCGATTTCGTAGATTCCGATGGCGCGGTTCAAGATTTTGATCAGGATGCAGATGATTAGTATTTTTGAAAGGAACCGAAAATAGGAAATACTTTTATTGTAAAAATAAATGTTAATAAATGTTTGTACTATTAGGTTATCTGAAAATCTATATGATGTAATTTGTAAATAATTTTTTTACATAAGTTAATGAAATTTTTGGCGTAGACATATTAATAAATTATTGACAAACTTGATATCAATGCTTTTTTATAATTACATTTTACCTACATGAAAATATTTGGAATAAATTGTATTTTTAAATTAAATCTTATAATATGTCTCTCTCTGATAAAACACACAGGCCTACTTCCGAGACTTCACGTTCGAGCGTCTGGACAGACCGTGGCGAGCGTTCACCGGCAGCTGGTCAAGGGCGGCCATAGCCCGCCACCTGGGCATCAACGCGTCCTTCATTACGGGCGACCACTGCTACGTGCTGGTGAGGGTGTCGCGTTTCCGCGAGTCCAAGAGGCTCGCCGCTCTCGGGGCCGACGACGGGCCCGGCGGTCTGCTGCTCGACGAGGCCGTCGCCAAGGAGGCCGAGAGCGTCACCGTCGGCGATCAGGCCAGCGTGCTGCGCTTCGTGAAAAATTTCGGCTCGCACTACATCGCCAGCTACGTGACCGGCAACTCGCTCTTCCAGGTAAGCATCGCGCGCGACTTTCCGATATCTGGTTGAGGATCGGATATACGCTGTATGCGCTGTATCAATTGGCGTAGAAAGCCGACGAATCGCTTCATTAGCGGCTAGCTGGTCGGCCACTGCAGCGAGTGAGACTTTTCTGAGATTATTAGGGAATGCGGATGATCAAAGTCTAGACGCGATCGCTCGAAATCGGTGTCTCTATTCTCGTTGTTCCTCTTTTTTCCTTTTTTTTGTATTCGCTCAGAGTCGTGGAATGTAACGTTGCTGCTACACACTCGCGACTGCCATTCTCAGCTACCTTGAAATTTCGAAAATCGCCTTTTTAGTTATCGCTGTTGCGAAAGCTAGCTACACTGCTGCTGCTACTGCTGCTGCTGAATACGTCAATCGAAACGAGTAAAGTTTTTCGCTCGTCATATAAAAGAGCCTGCGGTTTACTGATCTTTTTACTCATCCTGTATCGATCAAAAAACTTCCATTAAATAACAAATATACATGTCACCAATAATCCACTAAAAAATCGTGTGGTTTTACGCCAATGATTCCGAATGAAGAGTCGTAAGATCGATAGTGCTTGATTACATACGGAGAATCATCGACGTTTACACCGAGATGACGTAAATTTTAATTTTTCAAAATAATAAGTCGTAAACAGCATTAAACTAAATGAACATTAAATTTATGTACAATTTCGCGCGTCATTGTTTCACGCGTCAAAGCGTAAAAATACAACTAATTACAGCCCACACTTGCGGCATAGTAATCGTATACAAATTAACGATATTTTCTAACGCTCGAAATTCAAAGGGGTAGAGCTTTTTTTCAAAATTTGATATAAGCGCGCCTCACGGCGTGCACGATATACTATTATTTATACGTGTTATAGTGTTATATGCTTAGCTTATATAGAGTGATAGTTTGCATCACCACTTTTGAAGCAGGCGAGCTGGAGATATTGCGTAACACGTTCTTTATACTGACTGCACAGCAGTTTGCTCGGGTCCGAAACGCTGCAAGGTAAATAAATACAACCAAAAGTCAGCGCTCGCCTTGAATATTTATGCCCGAGGTTCATTGGCTAATTTATTGTCTTCGCCAGCTCTCGTGCGGTGACAAAACTTCTTTATCCTCTCATATCATTATAAACATTATTATATACATTTAATGTAATCTTTCCGGATTGGTTTTCGTATGCTTTATTTATTTTCAATACCTAAGTAGTTAATTAACTTTATTTACGGTACGCCTGTAAAAAAAATAGTTGTTTCCGTTTTTTATTCTCAAATACGATAGAAAAATTGTCTTATTATTTGTTTAAAATTTACGCATTTTCTTGGAATTTCGAACGATAAAATTGGTGCAATACTATCATAAACAAAAGTCCAAAGTCGCATTGCCTCTCGATGAAAAGCGACGAACTAAATAATCAAGAGCATGCATCGGTCGTTTCCTGTTTAGTACATGCACAAAGTATGTTCATGCGCCAGTGTAATTGTTATAGAATCGCAACTACGAGTTCAGCATTATAAAGCAGGCCCCACTGTAATACGTATTAAGATATAAAAGTCATTAACGTGAAAAATCTCTTAATCGCGATAAATAAAATTCTATTGAACGAATGTGACACGCGTGAATCCTTTTTACGAAAGTTGTACCATGTCAAATCTTGTTTCTTGTCAGAGAAATAATGAATAAAAATAATAAAGTGATAAATTACTCGACGTTATAGGCTCTTAGTCGTAAATCGTTAATATTTCATCAGAGAATCCTCATATTTTTATAAAAATCGACTGTAGTTGAAGTAACAAATTTAAATGATTGATGATAAACCTATAAATTAATCAATATTTTTTGTTGTTAAACAACAGGTATTCGTATACCAGCCACAGGTGTATCAGCGAATAAAGGAGCGTCTAAAGAGTCGAGGGGTCTCGGATCTGTCGAGCTTGGAACTGAGCAATTACTTTTCGCCCTGGTACGCAGAGCACATCGGAAACATCCTATCGGCTTCAGGCAACCACTCTGTCGAGGCTTGGGCAGCGGAGCGTCTGAAGCTGAAGTACTACATCTTCACGTACGCCTCGTTGCTAAAGCTTCACGGGGACGCAAATCTGCTGCGCCAGCTCGACGGTCTGCTGGGCAACGAGGCTCTGCTGCAGATGCAATTGAAGACACTCGCGCCCCTGTTCAAGGAGCCCAAGCGCCGCCAGTGGTTCCAGGAGGTCATCGACAACTACTTCAAGCTCTGGGAGGTCAATATGCGATAGTGCCAACGACGATTTGCGCGAAACGATGAACGTAAATAATAGCGATCTCGTCGTCGTCGCTCCGTGCACTGATACACAAGTATCACCGCAAGCGCGCGATAGTATCGGAAAAAGTACCACCGACATCCATCGTGTACACGTACAGCTGGTGACTTTATAGACTCGGAAAGCTGTGTGTGCCGAGTACGCACGGGTGCCAGCGAGATAACGAGATATATATATAGAACAGGAGCGGAGAGTAGTTATAGTGAGTGAAAGCCGTGTGTAGCTAGCAGTGACAATTGAAAATTCAAAGAAAACATGTATGAGTGTGCGTGAGTGTGTGTGTTCGTGTGTGTGTGTCAGTGCGTAGAATAGTGTCCGCATCGGGGCCGGTATTTGACGTCCGAGAGCAGTATCCGAGCCCAGTGGGAATGAACTTTGCGTGACTCTTTAACTGTGTAGAATATGTAATGCGTATCGTAATACGACAGAAGGACTGGAGTACTCGAGAGATCCTCGAGTAATATAAAAAACCCTTTAACGTACATAATTGTAAATTTTATCAAACTGTCAGTTGGGATAAACCAACTAGTCACGAATTGCAATGCAGAGGGCTCCAGTCTTAGACAAAGTATTAAACAAAATATAGGGAGCACATTTCCAATTCAGGGCTGACTCTTTTTAGATACATTTAAATAATTATATTTATGAATATAATAAATTTATAGATTATATACACATTTATATATAACGTTTACAATATACGCCTAGTTTAAGTAGGTTTAAATAAAGCTAATATTATTGTGTGCGACTCGTAAATAATAATTGTGCCAGTCAAGGGTAAAAAGATCGTAGATCGGTACACTTGAACGCCTTGAAATGTAACATGAAATCGGTTTTTTCTATAGTAGCGTATCTATATCATTCAACAATTAAAATTTGTTAATTGAATTGAACTTGGTGATACTTAGAACGCTTATTCGTTGGATTCTGTTAGTTTCTAAATTTCAGTCGGTACTGTACAATTATGAAAATAATCGATGCGCAATAAATGTGTGACCGTTCATATCGACACGAGTAATTCTGTTTAGATTTCTTAGTTATACATTTTTCTTCATACTTAGAATACAGTAAGTCACTTAACTGACTGATGAATTTTTTTATAAGTAGGCGTTTGATATTCCTATTATCATGAGCTATTTTATAATGTTTACATTTAATTTTCGAGATATATTTTTCTTTAACAGAAAATGGTGTGCGAGTATAGGATATTAATTTAATTCTGTTTTTGAATAAGTGTTTAACTTCGGTTTGTCAAATTACCCATTTTTGTAGGCACTGAATTTAAATGAATAATGTTTCACAGTAGATATTTTAGAGTGATGTTTATCATAGCCTGTATTTCATAAATTATAATATCAAATAGTTATTTATTGTGATAAGTTGTACGTAAAGACTCGAAATTAAAAAAAATATATTTTTGCGATAATTCCGGTACCCTCAGGTTCAATTGTTGAAGTGAAAATCATGTGAATACCTTTCGTGATATAATTAAGTATGAAAGTGATTTAATATTCTGTTTTTATAGAGTGAATTGCATAATCACAAAATATACGCGTAAAATCCCATTTACTGTTAATTTTAAAATACATATCAGCATAATTTATGAATAAGATGCAAATCTTGAATAAAAACTTGATAAAAAGTGTTTGCGCAATAAATTTATTAGAATGTCGCTCGGGCGCATTTTATACATTTTATTACATTTGATGTAATTAAAATTTATTTAATTTATTCAAAATATAAAGTGATATTTCTAATTTTAAATAATACAAGACTCCACTTTTATAAGTTTCACATTTTGTCATCTTGTCATAATTTGTGTAAAATAAGTTAATGTATTATAATTGTGTAGGTAAAGATAAAATTTTACAAAAACATAAGATAATTATTTAAGTTCATTTTCATGACTTTAATGTATAAAAGATCGTAAAAATTACACTTTCAAATTAAAAGTTAAAAATTCATTGTGTTCAACACTCAACTTATATACATGTATAAAGAGTAATCACGAGAACTCCACAATTGTGTCACTTAACATTTTCATTTTTGTATTAGTAACTGATTGATATAAAAAATTGTCTTTAGCCAATAAATGCTTTAATTAATACTTCATTTTATAGTTTTTTTCAGATCTACTCACTTCTTAGTCACTCTTCTTAAATGATGACATTTTTACATTTGCTTGTTGATCTCTTCCTAATTTTCTTCCATTAACTACAAGCACAACAGGTGTTTCCACTCTTATTGATTTAAAATCGAAATTCTGTAATTTTCAACATTTTTCCATCAATCAAAAAATTAATTTTCCATTCAAGTGGTTCATAAAAACTTACATTTTCTAGGTAATCAAACTTTTGATGTATCAAAAATGGTTCTGGAATAGCAACAGAGTCCCCTACAGTGACACCTTTTCCTTTAGCCAAATTATATAAAGTCACAGCCATACAATTTTTCTCCTCATCCACTATGCAAAACGTACTGAAATTTAAACGAGCATTAATTGGTTGGAAGGAACAATTCAAAAACGTGATTGATAAACTCACAAAGGTACACATTCTGAATCTTGAATCCAGCATACAACTTTTCCAAAGACTACTTTTTCTGTATTGATATCAGGAACTAAATTTTTTAGGTATACCAAATCCAGTTTTACAGATTTATCTCCAGAGGTATATGAACCATCTTTATAAGGCCCCAAATGTTTAATGTTCAGATTCTAAATGATTTTAAATCTAATGAGAATTTTTATATAGTTGAATTATATTTGAATATAAAATTAATCATACTTGTAGCATTTGTGAAAGTTTTTTTGGTTTAATACTGCCTTTTGAATTTACAGATGTTTGAACATTTTTTAGATATGTAATCAATTCAGTTTGTTTTATCCTTGGAGCATCCCAAAGTGGATCAAGTAGCATTGCTTGTTGAAAAGATTCCAAAGCTAAATTGTATTCTTCTTGATACTTCAAAGCCTAAAAAACATCTCATTTAAATATTTAACTACAGATATTTTATCAAACTTTTATTAGAAAAACTTACCATAGCCTTGTTGTAATGCAGATCCGGATTGTTTTTTGCAATTAAATCTTTTTCCTAATACAAAATCATGAATAATTAGAAGGTATTGTAAAAAATATGATATTTACTTACAGCTTGTATATATGCTGACATACACAGACGTAAGATGGAAGGGTTTTGAGATATTGTGAAAAATGAAGATAAGTAAGCATTTCCCAAAATTGACCATGAAATGCCATCAGTTGGATCCAAACCTACTGCTTCTCTTGCATATTCAACTCCTTGTTGAATATTTTGAATTTTCTGTTCTTGAGTTGTTGTACTTTCTTGTCTTAATACCATTGAAAGGTTTCTTAACGAAACTTTGTTTTTACCCTTTAATATTTTAATTTAAATTTATTAGTTATACTTTCATGATTGAGCCAGAATTATCTAAAAAATTTAACATACGTGTGGTAAAGCGCCAACAAAACAATTTTTAGCTTGTTGAATATCATCATTTTTCCAATAACATTCTCCAAGTTCATTCCAAGCCTCAATAAGTTTTGGTTCTAACTTTACAGCCTTACTTAAAAGTTCTTCTGCCAAAGGAACAAATTTATCTTCGATATTCAAAGTTTTTCCTTTCAAATAATAATACTTAGCACGACAGCCATCAATTTCATATCCTTTGCATTCATCAAATTTGGCTAAAGTACTTTTCATTTCTTGTTCCACATCGCTCTTTTTTTTTACAGCATCTTCTATTGGATGAGTTTCAAAATAGTGATCTCGAAAAATATATAAAGACTTGACTTTGTCCTGTAATAAGTGAAAAATAAGTTTACCAAATTATTTATATTGAAATATTCAGAAAATTATCAAACATAATAAGGTAAATTTACAGTTAATATAACAATTGGATCTTCCTTAACCACATTAGGGTCTTTTGCACCAGCAACAACTTTATCATCAATAATAGCAGACATATTCAAGTTTTATTATCTGTCATACATGCTATTTTTAAAAAACCAATAGTGTTTATTTACACTATTTTTATTCAAATATCAACAGATCCGCTGAGATTCGTAAATCATTTTTATTTTTATAAATCATTCAATCACTATATTCTATACTCAATGTACTAAATCATCTAATAAGTTTTTAATTATAATAATTTATTGTCCAGCTTTAGTATTGTTGGACCTGTACTTGGTATTTACTACCATTTAAACTGAAGGTTATGAATATCAATTACAGTTCGCAGACATCAGAAAGCGGCAATGAGTATTTGTATACATAAAAGTGTTGTTTTCGCAAATGTTTTCATGTTGGCAAACTTGATGTAGCAAATGTCAAAGTGAATTTTAATTAATTTTATTTAATATTATCAAATATTTATTTTTCTTAACCAAATGGAATTATTGATTTCATTGATAGTTAAGAAGCAAGTGAAACATTTCATTTTGAAAATAATAAATCAGCAATTTTTTTGTCAAGTTTTCACAATTTGACCTACTGACATTATGCCGACTAGTGCTGCCCCCAATGTTGTAGTTTACACATCAAAAGGTGTTTTACCTACCGGCCTAGACTCCCCACCCCACCCTAAAACAGCCACAGGCAAAAATCGATGGTGCGCGGGTAATAAAACATCAGTTTGTGTGCTCTTCGTATCATCTCTCTTGCCTCGCATTTTCTGCTACCGTTTTTCTTTTAAAAAGTGATACATCAGTTCATTTTGACAGTTTCTAGAGCAAGGTGCTGAAAATGGAGTCTGCTATTTTACATTTGGAGCAAAGTGTAAGCATGCAATTTAAATATGACCGTTCGTGTACATCTTTTCCATGAGTTTGACATCTTCTCCAAACGAATACAAACTCAATGAATGAAAAGATGCAATATATATAAATTGCTGGTATACTTTGAATTTCAGTCTAATTGATGAATACTTTTATTACAGGTTCAGGAAGCTGATGGAAAATTAGATATGATTGCATGGCAAGTTGATGCTTTTGAGAAAGAATTTGCTGATTCAGAAACAGAAGTAATATTATTTTTCAATATTCCAAACTTAAAAAATTTAAATTACATGCTTATCATACAATTTTTTTGTTTGCAGCCTGTCTCAGTTCTAAGACTGCTACGCTCTGTAACTCAAGTAAAAGAGGAGTATCAAGTACTGCGCCAAGATATACAAGAAGTTCAACAACTTCAAAAACAACTCACGGGATTACTCAGAAATCAGTTAATGCAGGTACATGGTCATTTCAATGTATTGAGAAACAGAATTGTTGGGCAGAATAGGACACCTCAATTAAAGTAAATTAAAATATGGTTATTTTAAGTGTTTAGAAGCTATTATTCTTTTTTAATACTTATTTATTGTTTTTTTTTTATCTTTACTATCATTCAATTCATATGTTATTACTATGATGAATTTCATTCGCATAAGCTGAAGATCTGTGGCTCTTAAAGATTTATTTTTTATTATTTCAAGAATGAATATGTCATAATTTATTTTAAGTTTCACATTCAAAATGTTTCAACATGGACATAAATCAATAAAAATTGAAAGTCTTGCGATACGTATAATGAATTAGTACTTCAAGTCATATACAAAATTATGAATCTATAATTCAATTCAAATTATTGTAATTATTTTACTCAAAAACTGCATTTTAAAAATTTGCATATTAGCTTAAGTTATGCTTGCGGATAATATATTGCATATGCTCATAGTGTAGTGCTTATCATGGTAACTCCATATAAAGTGGAGCCTCATTCATTGCAGATATGTATTGCATGGATGGGCAAATAATAAATATTAATTTTATAAATTGAGTAAATGATTTGTAAAATTCATTTTTAAGGCTTCAGTCTATCATACATATGAATTTAAAAAGTAATTTTAGTTTCATTTGAATTCCTTTAAGAATTGTATATTTATGTATTGCTTTGATTAATAATGAACCCAATTTACCTACAGTTCAAATAATATTGAAGAAGTGATGAAAATAAAAGTATTATTTAATGAAATATATAAAAATATTTAGTCGAGAGTACTTACAAAAAAAATACTATTCCCATAGAGTTTAAAGTATACTCGCTACGTATAAAGTAATGTTGTGTCAAACTTTAGATTAATTCTATTAATATGTAAAAGTGTCTGTGCTTACTATAATTTCTTTTGTTGTATGAAAACAAAAAGAAATTTTATGAATTCTTCCTATGAAGTTCAAATATATTCTGAAACTGAACAATTATTCAATTTCCGACTTTCGTCAATTAGTCTTCTGTCAACTTAATACCGTTCTATAATCATATAAAAGTACTAAGTACATTTTGACATACAATAATATAAGTTTAAGAAAATTTTCAAAAAATATAGTACATTTTTCAAATATTTTACACTTAGCTCATGAAATATTTTATAGTTGAAAATTTAAATTACATGATATAATTGTGAAAATTTTTTCATTTCTATGCATGTAAATTTAAGAGAAAAATGGTCTGGAACACATTTTATATACAATAATAAGTGCTTAAATTTATCAGGATTCTTCTAAAATTGATTAAAAGCATAATAGCAATAACTTTATGTACAATTTGATACATTTTAATTTAATGTCAAATGAGCACATGAGTTATTAGCAAGCCATTCATAATTCATGACGATTGGATGGCTATTGTCATAATCTTAATAATGTTTAATATCGTACATTCTGAGCTGTACAAACTGAAAAAAAGCTTCACATAACGAGCGTTATTAATAATTCAATTTGAATCTATATTACCACATTGTTTGCATTGAGTTTTTCGCTTTTCTATATGGCTTGCTCTTTGACTTAATTTTCGTGTTTCTTAGGAATTACTATACATATAACTGCATGAACTACAATAGGGAAATGATACAGACATTAATAATTGTTTGTATTTACAATTTTATTGGTGCCAAGAACGCGAAAAAAAAAATTTTTATGATCAGTGATGTATCAAAAACTCATTATTTGAGTACAAATTTGGATTTAATATAAATTATCCACAGACAAGAAGAGAATATCAATTTAAAGTGTTTAGCAGTTGAAAACTGCACATTGTTACAGAAAAATACTCATTTATACGTGATAAGATTTTATAAACATGTTTACATATGTTTTTTATCTTGAAAATTTAAGGAATCGAAGCGTTAAATTATGATATAATTATTATGAAAATCAAAATTGTGAAAGTCTGTATGTTTCTACGTTTGAACTTGTCCCAAGTAGATTGAAAAGTCAAATAAAGATTTATCTGCAAACGTTAAACGTGCATTACTCTTAATCCGGCACACTGCCCCGTTATCATAGCAGAAAAAGTGCCCGGAATTACCCAATGTCCATTTCATAAGGAAGGAGAGGATCGATTCGATAAGTAGACCTTGTCAGCTCTGCCAACTATCCTTTGTATAGTGGCAAACGATGAACCGGGAAACGAGAAATAAAATTAATTATTAATTTGTGGCTCCGTCAGCAAGGCTAAAGCGAGCAGCAGCGAAGAATCATCCGTGCATATCAATGCGGGTGCTGCTGCATAAACCAATCACGATCCTCATGATACAGCACAGAAGAAGAAGACGATCATGCGATTATGCGCACACAAAGTAAAATAAAAAAAAAGCTATATAACGCGAATAAATTTTCAAAAGGACACGACACCAAGAAGTTATGCTTCCTTTGATTCACTCTCTGCCAAGTTGTTTGTGTGACTCATTGTTTCCGATCATGAGAAGCAGCGGCAGCATCGTTATACTTTTGCCACAGCTGTGCACCACGCGGCGTGCAATATCTTCATCGCTCGATCGGGACGCATTTCAATTACAATGCGCCGATCGATTTTTTTCCTTCGTCCGTTATCTCGACTCGGAATATTCGAATGTGAAAGTCCCTCGACTCGAAGTGCGCTTGGATTGTTGCGAATGCAAATGAAAAAAAAAATGAAGAACGACAATTATAGAAATAAGCCGGTAGTTTTTTTTGTGTAACTATAAAATCGCTTCTGCACCGCTCTGAGTCATACTTCCATAAAGCTCGTCGATGGATCATATCCTTGGAAGGGTTACATTATCGGCGTGGCTTGCAGATTAAACGACAGCTGCGAGCGACTTTGCCGCATTTCCAAGGTAAGTTCGAAGTATATACTTTACAGCCTCAATCGAGGCTCATTCGAGGGAAGACCTTTGCTTTACATTCAGTTCTCGTGTAGTCTCTTTGAAATTCCTCGAGAACCCTTTCGACGATACGTAAAAACGTATAATTTCGAGGTAAACAGGCTCTCTGCACTCTCGCGGTGCGGCATAATGCACACACGATCGAGCTCAAAGTAGCTTTACATCAGAACTATGCAAACTATCGAAGGCAAGTGGAGCAATATACCTTTATAATGTGTATACTACTAAGGTGTCTTCATAGAATAATCAATTTACGACCTGTTAATAAATGCTCGTGCCGCTGAAATTATCGCAGCTGGAGTAAGTTCATACGAACGAATGCATACGCGTCAATACGAAGAATAAATCGCCCGAGATTGTCCGTAATGCATTCGAGACGGAAAACTGGTTATTTTTTTGCTTAGGGATCCGCGAGTATTACCAAGCCGTCGTCGCGTCTGAATCGGCGTTGCAAGTGCAGGCAGGCGCGCACTTGGAAAGGCGTTTCGCGCGCGACCTTTTATATAGGAGAGCCTTCGGTTCTATTGTGCGAATTATAAAACAATTTGACGACTGTCGCCGCAGCGAAAGGCAATTCGCTTTGAACTGCTGCAAGCTGCTCGTAGAAATGTCAATAAGAGATCTTATTTGGAAATGAAACTCGAATAAGGCAGCTATACATAGGGAATTGAGGTACTTTTATAAGTTTTCCTCGTCGCAATTCAATTTTACAGAGGATTTCGTTGGATATTGACCAGTTGTTTATTTTATTTATTATCAGTATCGATCAACGAGGTGAAACGCAATATAACTTTTTAAGTCGTTTGCGAGCGTATAGATTTATCTGCGGAATAATTCGAGAGATGAATTTTGTCGAGTCAGTCGTTGTAGATTTGATCGGGGAAGAAAAAGTAAATGCAACTCTGTGTATACGTACGTAAAATCGTGACTTATCGGTTCGCGACTTACAGGATACGCTATATAGATATATTGATTTCTCGCTCTGGCCTCTCTCGCCGTGTATCCGAGTGTATACACACAGCGATGTGTGCTATACGTGCCTTTTGCGCGGGTCTTTGCTCGAGAGGAGCTGCTCATTTTTGCGGGGTGATCTCTCGTGCCGAGCGAGCGCCGCGAGAACCGTTGAATCGTGTCATCGGAGAGCTGTGTGCGAGGCCTGGCCACAAAATTCTTCCGAAGACTTTTGTAAAAGGCGGTCGGTCGGTGCGCACTGCACTTGCGGGAGACTGGGAGATCGGAAAACGATTTGCATTCGTTCGTTAGTTATGCTTTCTATTTCGGCTATGCCTATGCGCGCTGGCTGTAGCAGTTCTAATGATGCAGTTGAATTTTCTTTACGTCGAAATACGATATCTCGTAACGTAGAGCCATGCGTTACATAGACCGATGAAAAAAAAAAATTATCATCTCTCGCGATCGATGATTCAACGATCAAAAACCCAATAGATGAATAAGTTGGAGCGAGCAAAAGTTATCAGGAAGAGGACGAAAAGTTTTTTTCCGATCGAAAGTACACCCAGAGGTGCACACGTACTTTGGCGCATATAGCGCACGAGGCGTCGTCGGTCGTGCTATATACTCTCTCGCGAGCGAGCGAAGGGGCCAACGGGAGATGCCATTCTCTTCTTGGACAGCTTCCTCTCCTATATACGTTTCGGCGAATCCTCTCCTTCCCTCGAGCGTATAGAACGGAGCGCGAGGATCTCTCGTACACGGCGATCCTGTCGCTCGTTCACGTGCCATGCCGCTACTTTGTATACGTGTGGCCGTTCGCTGTATCAGCCGCCGAGCGAGAAAGTACCTAACACACACAGACAAACACACGTGAATGGAAAATCGGATGGAAAGCACAAACTCTAAGACGCCGCCGCCGCCGCGACGAAGCTCGACGTACAACCTCACAGCTATATAGCTGCCGCGCGAATTTGCTATGTGTGAAAGGCTGGCACGACTGCAATTACACTCGCTGCTATTTTCTATCTCGTTTGCTGTTTTTTTTCTCTCTCTCTCTCTCTTCGAAAGACCGCCGCTGCTGCTGCCGCACATCTCTGCGCGAGTCGCGCGCGTGAACCATGCACTTGGCATTTACCGCGTCTGCGAGGAATTCGCGCGGAGGATCGCGAACTTATACAGCTGCTGTACACTCTCTATATATGGTAGCTGACAAAACAACTTTTGTTTCGTTTGTTTCATCTTCTTTTTTTTTTCGTATGCGACGATGATGGAGGGGACTTAATTTTTCCCTTTTTTCCTCGAAAGTAAATGTTGTTTGGAATCGCGGTAGCGCAGTTCCGGTGCACCTCTTTCCCTCTCTCTCTCTCTCTCTTTACTCTTACCGAGCACGAGGTCAAAAGTACCAAAGTTTTTTTTTTATATTGTTGTAAAGAAAAGTCGTCAGAATTTTCAATTACTCTTACGCGCTTGCATTTTCTAAACGAAAACGAACTCTTACACAAACTTTGCACAATTATGCTAACGATATTCCACTTGTCTGCAGCTTCGTGCACGGCCGCGGACAGCTCTAATACCCGGCGATCGCGATAATTTATAAGGAGTTTTGCCACGCGCTTGGGCTCTGCAGCGTTTTACAGCATTATTATTTAATAACAGGCTAGCGCAGACGACCCAAAGAAAGGAGTCCAGTTTGCGGGAAAAAAAGAGTCGCTGCTCTGTGTGTGCGCGTACAATAATCTAGATGATCTCGCAAGCGCACGATACGTTATATTTCTACACACTCGCGCGAGCCGGCATAAATTACAAGTACCGTAAGACGTTGCCAGCGAAATGTGTGCGTATGCGTCTGTATGTGTGTGTGGGTCGGTAAGTATGAACAAAAACTTCTCAGGCTCTCGCATGTTTTCGCTGCTCTTTATGTATACATCGGTCGCGTGAGATAAATATCCTAACTTTCGGGCGTAGTTTGCTTGGGGTCGATATACATGTATACACAATTGATTTTCAGGGACAAAATTTGCTCTTCGCACGCATACGCAAAGGTGTATAGGTATGTATGTTGGTTGCATTCCAGACTTGGATGGCGAAAATTGTAACAAACACGATTGAATCGCGAAATCATGCGCTTATCTTCGAAACTGCAACGAAGGCGCACAGCGTTATTGTGCATTATGCGCTCGCGCGGGCACCGCAGCTCGAAACAATGCGATTTTCATCGCTCCATATTTTCAATATTCTCACTCATTATCGCGGTTTTCACCCGTGAAAACACGTGTACATATTATAATATAGATATATATTGCAACGCAAAGTGAGTGCGAAGTGTGGAAGGAAAATCGTTATCGGCGCGTCATCGGCAAAAGTGCGACTACGTAAAAAGAGAAAAAATTTTTGTTCAAGGATAACGATCTCGCGGACGCGTGCGCGCCGCCTATGACAAATGAAAAAAAAAGACAAGTGCGATATACGCATAAATGGCGCGACAGGGCGGCAAGAGTAATTCGCAGTGGAAGTATATAGTTTATAATCGCGCAGCGCGCAATTAGTCGCTGCGCGAACAATTAGTCGAGTCGTTGAAACGGCAAGTGTGTCTCGGGTGCGCGTAGATCGGCAAGAGATCGTTCCTTATATATTGACAGGCCGTGCACGCGCCGCACGTGCATATAACACATTCATGCGCATACATACTCGCACTCTCGAGTACGTATGGATGAACGTGAGCGCAGCTTATATACAGCTAACGAGATTATACATACGCATTTTCTTAACGATGTCTAATAACGATCCGTAGAAATTGATTAGCGTCGATGACGTACGTTCAGCTCACAAACTGGAGCTGCTGCGGGCGCATACATCGATCGGCTCGTGCGCGAATCTATTAAGCCGAGCGAAAAATGCAGATAAAAGTTGTATTAAGATCGCGTACAGTCGTATACACATCGGGAAATTATTCATAAGATTGGGAGCTGTAAAAGGTATATAGCTGCTGCTATATGTATACGCGCGCAGAAATCGCCGAACGCGAAAGGAGGGCCGAACGTGTCCGGTGGTAGTGCTCTAATGACCCACTTCTAACCCGCACCGCGCGTACATTACATGCATATATACAGAGCACTGCGAGAGTCACGAGTATCCCTCGCACTCCTTAGCTCGAGAGCTCGAGACTCTTGCACGCACACATACGAAATTATACGTGTGTGTGAACGTCGCTGCCTCCTCGCACACGTGTGTTGGTACTTTATAAGTATACATACTCACACACGCGTACCATATAAGCATATAGGAGCCCGTATACGTTATCCGGAGTCGGCGGCGGGGCGTACGCTCGGCTACAATATACCTTTTGCCAGGCACGGAGAGTGGCAGCAGTCTGGCGGCTAGGCCGTGGCGGTGGCGGTGACGGCGAGAAGCCGATATTGTACACATTGCGGGCACACGGCAGTAACAGCGGCAGCGGCGGCAGCAGCAGCAGTATCAGCAGGCCTCGGCCGCAAGAGTCGCGAGTTTCGAGTCGGCCGCGCGCGCGCGCCGCGTTCATACACATATCGAGTTCAGTATATTATAAAAATTTTATAAATATACAAGATATAATATATACAGAATCGAGAGTCAGTGCACACAGCAGCTTGTCATCGACCGGTTTGCAAAAAGTCCGCGGGGACAGCTACAAGTGTCAAGCGCTGCCGATGGAGCAACCATCAAGATGCAGCGCCCTCGACATCCTTCGCCCTTCCAGCTGGTGAGTACTCGAATCTGTATTTCCTTTTTTATATCAAAATACATTCCTGCAACCTACATCGTTGTGATATATTGGAAAATTCGATTTGCCCTCGAGGCACGCTCCTTTTCGCCGTGCTCCTTGCTCCTGCTTAAGATATAAGATACCGTACGAATGCTCTGCGGCAGCGCGCAAGGGGTCGTTCACCTCCTACCTCTCTCTCTTCCTTACTCAGCGAAGGGTGCACTGTACTTCCGAACCGCGATATGGCCGGTGCAACTGGCTCGCGCGTGCATGCAGAGAAGAGAAGCGACGACCACAGCTCGCGAATCGCGAGACCATTTCGATCCGCGCGTTGTATGTATATTATATCGTACAATGCATGCACATACACGCGCGCGCGTATACACCTCGCGTAGGTGTGTTCAAGGATATTTAATAGGCCAGAGGGACAGCAGCTCCTTTGTTTCGCGCCCGTGCAGAGTAGAAAGATCAGGGCCGTCCCGCGCGATATTATATACGTGCGTGTTACGTACGGTTGTTTTTTTTTGTTGGTTTCGATCGGCGCCAGCTCCTCCTCCTTCACTCTTGATCCTGCACATATATATAAGATTCTCGTGCTGCGTGCCATTTTTAAGTGGATCATTGCGAGCATAACTCGGAGTGCCGTTTATTCGTCGCGCATTGACGCTAATCACGTCGAATTACCTACACGGGCACGACCCGCTTGAACTTGAACGCTCGAGAGTATCCTGTTGTGTACCTCATACCTCCAGGTGACTCACGCTAACTATATAATATGGGAAAATGAGGAACCGGCCGCGCTAGCAGTATATATTCTGTTTATTTAGTCACCTATCCTAGATTACACATATCAACCGCTGCGCGGGTATTTTTCATGAGATATCCAAATAACTCACCTTTGCTTTTTCATCGGAAATTCGGCTTAGTCGGGGCTGAGACAGCAGCAGCAACAGTTGCGATTATAGTGCGCGCGAGGATAGAAGTGTCTGACTCCGGAACCGGTTTCTGATTCGATTGTGATAATTTTTTAAGTTATCCGCGTTTAGTCGAGTAGTGTAGTTCAACAAAACCGTGCCTGTCAACTATGTGTTTACCCATGGATAAGCGAAAGGCTTATGCGGTGTGTATACGAACAAAAATTTACAAAGCCATTGAGCAATATCGAGTATGCGACACGACTAGTGTGACTTTTAATTTAAATTTTTTTAGCGCGAGTCTCAAATATGTGTAGTATTTGCAAACAATTAACTACTTCCTAATTTCGTATTAATTAGTGTATACCGAAGTGTTGCATCTAACTGTTCTTCTTTTACCGGTAATAATACAGCTTCGAAGCGACATTATGCAAGCAAAACATTTGAAAACGCTTAACTTACTGCTAGAAAGTGAATCATTAATTTTTATATTCCTCTGGGCTTTACGGAAAATATCCTTTAACTTATTCAAATTAACTTGTCATTTCCTTACGAGGCTTTGCGTAATATCGAGTAAATGTAAGGGAGATGTCCGCGGCTTTTTCAATTTTGCAAGAAACTCTTTCGAGCGAGACCAATTAGAAAATGAAATTCGAAAAATGCATGAATAAATTTAAAATTTTAATTTTTCCACATTTTTCATTTCTCATTATGCGATAAAAATGATGACAATTTTTACATTTCAAAATCAAATCATAATTGGCAATAATGATATCGAAATATGGCAGTGCAATTACTCAGAGTCCTGCAGCTCACGTATAACTAATTAAATCTAATTCGATTAATAAAGGTTGACTTACTATTCGCATAAATTCCATACTCGGCTTTAAAAATGAGCACGGCAAAGCAATTAAAAATTCTACCAAGGTTAAATTTCGAATATTTTTGAAGTATAGCATTATGATTCCTTTTTTGCTCCTGACGATTTCGTAGGAAAGGCTACGGATCGGATGAAATATCGACTTGTATTGTTTGAAATCGAAAATTTCGAGGCTGAGATATATGTTCTAACTAAAATGACCAGTATATATTTCGATCGGGCGCAGCTCAACTCGAGTGTTGTATAATACTTCATCATATTATTCTATTGTACAATGTGCTTCGTTGCCATGGCCAAGCTGCTTTGTACGATTTAATTCTCTCTTCCCATGTACAACGCGGTTGCACTTGGCTTTATAACGCGGAGCGTAGATTGGGCAAGATATCTGTCCGCATATATATATAAAGTACACACACAGCGACTGAGCGCGTGCTACTACACACAGCATTTTTCGAGATTTCGGCTCCAGATAGCTCGAGCCGTGGTCAAGGATAAAAGTAGTATATTCATATAAAAATAAAAACTGCGCAGGGTCGGGTTGTACAAAAAAGGTCGCTCGAGAGCCTCGGGGCGTAACTCGTGTGTGCCATAATAAATTCAAAGTCGCGGATTAATTTTAGACAACATTCTTCAAACTGTTCAAACGCTCGAACGCAGTGTCTAGCATGCATATATAGTGCATAATATTTCTTTTGACCATCTCTTGGATAAAATGTTGTAAAAATACTATGATTGTTATTTCGCCGCGGGCCTGCCGTGTTCCTCCCCTTATTCAATGCAGCCGAAACGATCGCGTGTATATTCGTGAAAAATGTCAAGTTTTGAATCGTCGTGTAACTGCAAAAGAAAAGTTTGCATTCAAACTTTACCGTGTACTACTGTATTGTATGTACGATCTAAAGAAAAGAAAAAAAACATCCTTAATCAAACGATCGTCTGAACCGGCTTTCGCGCGCGCGTTACGTCTGTCTGTACATGTAGCATCGCCAAGTGTTGAATTTTCGCATTTTCCGCTCGACGCGATTCTCCAGATCTTTTTTTATACACGCTATAGAAGTATCGCACGTATTATATACATCGTGCGAAGGCTTACAGCTCGGTAAAATTAATACAATCTCAACATAGCATTTCTCGCGCTGTTAGATGTTGTTGCTGCTGCTACTGGTGCCTGTTGCAGCGAGCGTGCGAGCAACGAAGCGCGAAAACTAATGTCCTTAGAGTCATCGTGATCGCGCAAAAGAATAAAAGCCCGCGACTGTGCATGTATACCGGCTACATAGACAGACAGGCTATGTTCATGGCACTATCCTAGCTGTGGTGTACAAGTGCATCGAATAACCCGATGCGGATAAGCCACATAATACAAGCTCAAAGTCCCTCGATGTCTTGCTCGATCCTCGCGGATGCGGCGCAGGAGCAAGCGATTCTCCACAGATATCTGTCTAAATGAGCTCGCTCGCGCATACACACACACAAGAACAAACAAAGCCCCCTTCCTCCTGTGTGCATACACAAACTCTACGCTATAGCTCGCTTTGATCAATCGATTTCATTAACTTTCTAATCGAATCTGCTCGTCGCGTTCGCAGTCGCGCTGAGGCCGGTTTCAAAAAACCGCGCTCGTCTTACGAAAGCGAGAAGCCTTCATTATTGTCCACATCACTTTGTCACTATGTACGTGCGGCTTGCTGCGCTTCGATCGATGAACAAAGCTTCGGTATCGACGTTGAATCGGCGCCAAACGCGCGTACAACACAAACGACGACTAAAAAAAGAATCTAGTTCGCTCGTCGTCGCCGTCGTCGTTGACGGCTACTTCGACGTGCTTGATACACGTGTTCATCGCTATTATTTTATATACACGTGTGACGACGCGACCATGCAGACACAACTGCAGCTTATAGGAGACGTTTTCATCGGGACTTTCGCAACGGAGTTGTTACATACGCGCGTTCATATATATTATATACCGGCGTGTGCCGTGTGATTTGCCATTATACACACGTTATATTTTACGATGAAGCGACAGCTTACACAATTCGAAATACGTGTAAACATCTGCATCCTGATAAGTAACAATGACGGAACTGATAATACAATAAACGACGGAAATAATTCTAATAATCATATATACAATTGCGTGCCTTTTTTTCTCTTCTTCTTCTTCTTCCATTAGTCACATATTATATATTGTATATATCTGCGCTCGAGAGCCCCTTCAACCATAAATTATATCCTACTGTTGTTTTCGCGGGTTCACATGTTTTACGTAACGATTTCCTAATAAAACGACTGCATCTCGGATCGCATGCGTCGCGTTATTGTGCTACTGCTACTACACTCCCTCACCCGTACGAGAATCTGGCTTGATTCTCTCTCGTGTCGTTTACCGTGAAAAAAATTGTCACATTATTATCATTTAGCTCTCGCGGTGCGCTTTGAATTCTCGCTAGTCGCGCGAATGAAATGGAAAAGGTAAAAGAATGAAGGCGACAAAACCATCAACGCGACATGTGTGTCAAAAGAAATGCTCGCCTTTTCGCCGTGGATAGATAAACACGACGCGCTTATGTATGCACCAAATGTATAACCGCATCCACGGAGACGAATATAACCGTCAGATTCTGCGAAAACTTTTCCCCTCGTTGCAGAGAGCTTTTGCTTTTGCTTTCTTTTCTGTCAACTCGGAGATTCTACGCGCAATTATCGCCAATTTCACTGAAAACCGCATCGCGTCTAAGTATACATTTTCCGCGCGCGTATATTTATCAGCAGTGCTGCGCCTTACATTAGATATTTCGATTGAATCAATGTAGGTAACGGTTTCAAGTGCGCACGACGAGCGCGAATTAGAGACGATCATTTTCAATTTAACAGCGCGAGCTTCTCAAGCCGTTTGCATAATTTTTTAATTGTCGTTCCGCAAGCAGCTCGAGAGCAGCATCGAGAGAGTTTTTAACTTCAACTGCGTTTATAAACTTCTCCGGATTTCCTTAAACGTACGCAACGTACAGCTCGCTTTATTGTATTTTTTGCCACAAAAACGTCGTAGAATATTCATGATATTTTATATATATCTTTGTTGATTTTATACTTTGATCTGGTTTTGCGAGAATTTCTCCTACTGGGAGTTGCCCATTTGATTTTTCAAATTCATTAAAAAGTGATCGCTTTAATTGCTGCAACGAGTGTGTGTGCCCATATACTTTCTATGAAAAATAACAAAAAATGAATCCGTATACAAAGTAAGAAAATTTCGAGGTTTGACCGGTAAGGAAAGCGCCCGCCGCTGCTGCTGAATTAAGGCGTCGGAAAAGCGTTATAAAATGTAACTCGCTCGCAACAGTATAGTAGCGCAGTAGCATGGTGAGACCGAATAATAAAATCGGAATAATCATTACAGAATGGCTTACTTAGAGAGTGCGCAGCTTCTGCGTAAGTTGGAGGCAAAAGAAAGAAAATCATTACGTTCTTAATTAGCTATTAAAGCATCAAGCCAACACACACACAACAACACTCTCGCGAATTTGCCGTGATAAGCCGAGGTTCTCAGGCGAATAAAAGAGAAAATGCGTCGCGAGCGCGCAGGAAAAGGCGCGAGAGTTCGTACTTACGCACGCTTACTGCAGCCGCGCGTGCGAGTGTATCCGTTGTCGCGTACGCGCGCGCGCGGAAGTGCAATAAGAGAAAACCCTATGGCACGGTTAAGTTGTATTATATATAACGCCATCGAGTTCAATAAATAGTCGCAACTAGTAGTAGTACCCGCATAAAAATTATCTCCTCGTCATTCATTTTTTACCTGCTATTCATGCATCCGACATTAGCGGGGTGCCCAATGTAAATATGTCCATTCGAGCTCGCGCTCGCGGATTCCTAATGGGACTTGAATGGGAGCCCATGGGTATAGAGCAGCAGCAACAGCGATTTATGCCTAGCCAGCCATGAATAATTCATCGAGATGCTCTTGCGAGTACTGCCTCTCTATGTGTGCACAGAGAGCAGCTAGCATATAATAGCATCTCCTTTATGGCAATATACCTTTTTAAATCGCTATTACTTATCGTAGCATATACACTCGGCTTACTTGCTCACCAAACACTTCCTATTTTTACGAATTGTAGCTTGTGGCGATACTAATGCGACCCAATTTAAAAGCAATTGCTCGCGATCCTCCCATTTCAATGCTCTATTATATAGAATATTTTTACTTATTATAATTCGAATGCGATTACGAAAAGAAAAAATGGCAGTAACCACTAGTACAGTACGAATATTATTATTGACTTGTGAAAGACAACTCGATTGTACGTACCATAAATGTCTAGCACGCAGCTTTGATTCCTTATTCGCGGCTGTACATTCAAATGCAAATTCTTCACTCATTTGTTATCCTTCTCCGAAATTTAATTTAATTCGCAAATGTCGCTTCAATTGTTTCTTTAATACGAATGCGCGGCTTGTTTCTATTAATAATCATCTGTTCCGGATGTTCCAGCGGCTTTATTATATATTTAAAAACTTTATTGGTCATTTATATATTCGGTTGGCCTCGTTATTTGTTTAAAAAATATATAAAATATGCGACGGGCCAAGCTACGGTTCTATTGTTTATTTAGTCGTATTGTTTTCGCGACACGTTAAAGCGCCGAAAATCGTGACTCAGACTCGTTCTCTACGTCTCTTGGTAAGACATCTAAGCTATTTAATTAATTATCGATTCTAAACCGTAAAGCTCACAGTTACTTGCGCGTAATTGCAAATTCTCCAATATGAAAGTATAGAATACCACCATTCGTTCGTGCATTATACTAATTTTGTCATTTTATGAATATCGTTATATTTGCAGAATGGCAGTCAGAATGGTATAATTGGTAAGAGGGGACTGGCGGTGTACCTGAGCTGCTTCCTCTGGGTATGTGGAAATTTTCTGGTCGGCCAAGTCTCGGCCCATGGAAGACTGATAGAGCCGCCGTCCCGGGGCTCCATGTGGAGGTACGGTTTCGACACGCCACACGATTACAATGACCACGAGTCCTATTGCGGTGGATTCACCAGGCAGTGGCAGACCAATCACGGCAGATGCGGAATTTGCGGCGATCCCTGGGACTCCAGAGAGGTAAGAGAGTTTAAAAAAAAATCTTTTATGGCCGGTCTCGCAGACGGACGGATTTACGAGGATGTCTTATGAGCAAACATTTGCCGAGTGAACAATTTACGTTCTTTTGTTGGCGAACAAGTGCGCCGCGTATGCGCGTGTGGCTTATTTTAACGACGCACCCACACCCAGTTGCGCACACATCGACGCGAGCTAATGACGTTTTTTAATTATAATTTTTTCTCTCTTCCTCTCGTTACATTAGCCTCGAGCTCACGAGCTGGGCGGCAAGTACGGCAAGGGCGTGATCGTGCGCAGATATCGCACCGGAGCCGTCATCCCGGTGCGGGTCGAGCTCACCGCCAATCACATGGGCTACTTCGAGTTTCGCACCTGCCCGATGACCTACAACAACCGGGAGGTGAACCAGGAATGCCTCGATCGTTACGTGCTGCGCGGCGAGAACGGCACCGCCCGCTACTATCCCGGCGAGGGCAATCGGATCTTCGAGGCCTACTACAAGCTTCCCGACGGCTTGACCTGTGCACAGTGCGTATTCCAGTGGCGATACGTGGCTGGAAACAATTGGGGCGATTGCGGCAATGGTCAAGGTATATCAAAATTTTAAAGCATTATTACATTGAATGGATAGATGACTTTTTTGTTTTTGTTTCGCGTGACTTCCTGTTCTTTCGATCTTATCTTCAAGACGTGTTATATGATGAGATGAGCCCATGCGTCGATTTACGGTTCACGATTTATTTGTTCGAAAGGAGACAGCACGACGAGTGTGTCTCATAATACATATAGCGAACTGTCATCGCGAGCGCGGGGCCTCATCACGTGCTGCTGTCCCGGCGCACGACACATAGCACAAAACGTCGATTGTGCAATTCGCGACCGCTGCGCATATAACGAACGATGGTTTTACTATGCGAATATAACGTCGACGACGACGATGAGGAAGACGACGGAGGATGTTTGGAATTTGAATCGAGCTAGCTTGAGTAACGATCTCCTATAATACCGAGCGACTATACACGTATGTGTTTGTGCACACTTACGGCCCATGCGAGAGAGGAGAAAGTTTCATCGCGTTAAAAAGAGTCAAAAATTGTCCGCGACCTACATGTTACCTACTACCGCTTCGCAATTCGCAATAGCTTTTATATATTCGTACATGTATACGTACACATGTATGTGCGACGAGCCAGTTCACTGTTTTTAAAGTATACCTATATGTGTTCGTTGACCCGTGCGCAGCTTTAAACTTTTATACTGCCTCTGACGAATAAAACTTTTATTACGAGCTTCTATATAAAAGTGCGCGTCCCCGAAAAAAAATGCTCGACCCGAGTACCCTGCATGTAAAGCGCGAAATTACACTGATTATTATTGAACTGTAATTTTCTTTCACATTTTTTTCGGTATTTTTACTTTTACCTTGGTAATGTTAAAAGCAAACGGTATTATAGCGAATATTCAGGAAGAAGTATGTAAATGTGAGAATGAGAAAAATGATTTAAGTAACATCAGCTCGCTCTAATTACTAATTGCTTCCTTCATGAGAAAGCTCTGTGATAGACAAAAAAATTAGGCGTCGTAGCAAAATTTGGTTTACACAGGTGTAAATTGGATTGAATACCCAACAAATTTTTGTAAATGTGTGTGTGTTCTCAGCCTTTGACCTACGATCAAAGTGAAGTCTCCTCAAAAAGAAATCTTCGCAGGAAAAATTTTCCGGAAAAAAATCTCAGATAAAAAAATACTACTGCCAAACTTTCTTTTTTTTACCATTTGCAATTATTAAAAACAAAAACTCCTACGATAACTAATTCAAAATTTTAATTCAAGTTCTAATTACGGCATTTAATATTTTTTCGTAGAGAGTAAAATCTCATTAGTCGCGGTTAGATATAAAATGAAAATAAATAGGAAAAAGTAAAATTAAATGACGTTAATTTTCGTAGGTGCGGTCGGCTGCGGCCCACAGGAAGAGTTTCGAGCTTGCGCGGATATAGCTATAGGTGACGAAGAGGCCACTTTACCACCGCGTCCAACCAGACCACCGACGAAGAGGCCGACCACGACGACGCCGAGAACCACGACGAAGAGCAGCAGCACGACCGAAGTGCCGAGCGATTACGAGCCCACCGATCACACCGGGCCCTTCTGGCTCTACAATCTCGTCATGGCCGGTACGTGTCTGTTGGTGGTGCTCGCGGTCATGGCACTGCTCTACACTTACTACTATCACGCCGGTCGGGCGAAGCAGTGGCTCATGGCCAGGCGGCTCGTCCAGTCGGAGATGCATCGCAGACATCATCGACAGACTGCGGACGTCTCCTGCGCACCGCCCCCCGTCCCGCCACCCGTTGCACCGCCCCGACTCAAGAAGCAGCACTACGAGGCCGGCGTCAATCATATGCACATTTGAACGTCGATCTCCGTCCTATCCATGCTCCAGATACAGTCCGTTTTTCAACCTCGGTCTTTTGTATCTCCTTCCTTTCATCGTTACACTTTTTTTATCGCTGCCGCGTTTATCGACAAACGACGTCGCGATTTTCATCCATCTTCGATCGTGTATCCAGTGCGATTACCCGTGCGCTGCGTTACTTTTTTATGCATGCCCATATAGTTATAGGTATTACGAGTCTCTTAAGTATGTATTAGTGTATTTTTTTTCAATTTTATACATACACTGCCTGTAATTGTAAACAATAATTACGATTATTTTAAAAGCAGAATTTGTACTTATGTTTAAGTGTAAATATGATTGATTAATTTTTGTGACTGAGCTCAAGTATTAAATTTATACATATTTTTATAGAAAATGTGGCTTTATTACATGCTTTATCAAACATCATGTAACATGTTGTTTTATAAATACAAATATAATGTATCATTCACGCAGTTATTCTATAGATTCGAACTATAAGCGAACGTTTTTATACTTTATAAATAAGCATTACTAGATTGTAGAAATAGTAATTATTTTATGTACATACATACAAAATTTTATGTAGTAAATAATTTTTATGATAATATCATTTTTCATCATATAAAATGTCTTAAAATCCTAAAAAATCATTTAAAGCTCCGAGAAAATACATTTTGTTTTTAGAACAAATTATTCAAACAATATCGCTGTTTATTAGTTCTTTTTTTCATGAATTTTTGATTTTTTAAGATTTCAAGTATTAAGTAAAAAGTAAGAAGTTGATTTGAACTTATAATCTATCTTATTTTTTTAGAAGCATATTTCTAAAATCCTCGTTAGTTTTTGCTTTTGCTACTCCATTACCAGGAACTACGTCACTGGTAGCGGTAGTTTTTAATACCCTAGGTACTAATGATAATACACTTTTGGGACCTCCAAAGTGGGAACGGCTTTGTGAAGAACCTCCGAGGGATTTGATTCTTAAATTGTCGTCACCTGGTGTTGGTTTACGCTGTGGTGGTTGACTAATTGCTACGCTTATTACTTTGTCTTCAATAGTCATTCCATCAGTCGCAACTAAGGCTTTGCCAGCATCAACTTCATTTTCAAAATCAACGTACGCTAATCCCTTAGAATGACCGTTACGGTAAGTGACTATCCGTACATCCTTGAGATTTCCGTGGACTTTGAATATTTCTTCGAGCTGCTCTTTTGTTGTACTGGGAGGCAAACCTAAAAAAAAATGAGTTAAATAAGTTTAGAACAATTTTTTTGCATATTGTTTATTAATTTTAACAATTACCTTTCACAAATAATTTATTCTTCTCTAATTCTGTTTTGTATTTAAATATTGGACCTCTTGAAGTCTTATCAGGATCACATCTGGATATAAACATTGGTCGGTTGTTTATTGGTGTTCGATCTAGTTTGAGAGCTTCCTCCACTTGATTCTAAATGAATAGAAAAAAAATAAAATTAGAATACATTACTTTAAAAAAAATTGTGCACATATTTATTACACATACCTCATTCTCAAATTGTACGTAGCAAAAACCTTTATTTCGGCCTTTAAAGTCTTTTACCATTCTTATCAAAGTGATTGGTCCAACTGATTCAAGTACCGCTTTTACTTCCTCCTCAGTTGTTGAATAATCTAAATTACTGACAAATACAGTAATTTGATCCTTAACTTTTTGGAATTCATGAGTCTCTGCTTCTGACTCAGTTGTATCCATATGTTCTTCAACTGGTTTTTTATAGCCAGGAGGAGGTGCGCTTTTAGTTTGACCACCATGTTCCTTATCACCCTTAGCTAAGGTAGCAGTAGGACCATTTTTGATGTTAGCTTTTCCCATTTTGTCAGTCTTTATTATCTTACTTTCAACTATCCCTACATCTTTCCATTTGGGTACATCTTCAGCTTTTCTTTTAAGTGGTTTTTTGACTACTGTTTCATGTTTTTGCATATTTTCTTGTGCTTTTCTATTCTGTGCTACTTTCTCCAAGCACTCTTTTGTTTTCGCTTCACAAACTTCCATTTGCTCTAAAGTTCCTTCATCCCTTTCAAAATTGATCCAAGAATTAGCTATACTTTCAGGCCAATCTACAGTTGCTGCCAATGCTTTAGGGAAAAGTTTACGTAGATGCTTAGTATCTCCATAACACCTAAAATATATAAAAATTATTAGTAAAAATGTAAAAATGTATCAATTATAATTATGCTAAAAAAGTTTACTTCTCAAGTGAAAGATATTCCAACCAACTTGCATATGATCCACTGTGACCTTGCGACATAATATCTGCCCATAGTTTCCTTGCTGTTTCCATACTACGAGCCGTAATTGCTTCGAACCTGGCCCAAAATTGAACAACTTCACAATTGGGATCACCCTCAATTCCAAAAGTTTTCAAATGTTCACAAGCTCGATTAAATGCATTTCTTACAATTTCAATATGTTTCTCTTCATCTGGAGCTTTATCAACTCCTCGTCGTAAATATTCAAGATATGAAATCCAGAGATCTTTATATTCTATTGGAGAAGCAAAACCTACAGCCAGAGCATTTTCAACCACTTGCTGTACTTCAGACATAGGACTTTTCTTTTTTTCAAGATATCTAATCCAAGCTTGCCATATTTTAACATACCATGGTACATTTCTTACTGCTTTTGCATAAATCTTTTCTACAATTTCATAAATTTTAATATTGTTCTGTACATAGAGTATATAGTCAAGCCACAAAGTTGGTTCTAAACTTAAATCAGCTACAGCACGTTCATACAGTACACTGACTCGACCTGGATCTCCTATTTGTTTCTCTTTCATTAAGTAAGCGTTATAAGCATCAAGCAATTCTTCTTTACTGTTAGAACTTTCAATTTTCTCTTCAAATGGTTTCCGAACTTCTAATTCAGCTAAAGCTCGATCATATCCACTTTTAATGATTTTTTCATCTTCAGTACAGCTGCTACCCTCTGATGATCGCCATAATTGGTATTCTTCAAAGGTTTTTTCTTTGCCATACAAAGGACAAGCCAGTTGGCGTTTGAATATTTTACCAATTCGATTAATTTGATCAAGTTTTCCTGAATCATCTGTATTCATCTATTAATTAAACAAAATGATTTAATTATTTTGTAAAAATAAAATGCAAAATGATGAAATTATAATAATTTCACTTACCATTAATAATATAAAATTTTCAAATTCTCTGTAAGCGTCCCAAATCAAAGAACCTTTTGTAACGTGTAGACCAGCATCTGTCAAAGCTCGTTCAAAAATATCCCTTATTTTTTCAACATTTTCTTCCTCAGTACCTAGTCCAGTACTGAATATTAAATATTCCAGCCATACCTCAACGGCTAAAACAAAATGACACAGATGAGTATATAAATGCTATTAAAATCAATTGACTTTGTATTAAAATACTCACAGAGGTAATCTTTAACAGCTCTATCACAAAGTTCCAACACAGGGAGCTTTTGTTCTGGAGTGACAGCAAGCTTCATTTCGTCTTTCAGCCAGGAAAGCCAAATTTCCGAAGTGAGCGGGTACTTAGCACTCATATTTTCTCTGGCATTTCTGAGTCGATCGAGACAACCCATAGTTTGAAGTTTTTCAATTAATGATTTATGCGCCTCGTAGTCGTACGGGTTTTGCTCCAGTATGCTGACAAAATTCTGTACTTCGGCTTCGTCGGCTGCATTATCCTCCTCGTCGTTGTCGTCGGAGTCAGAGTCATCGTCGGAGTCGCTACCTTTGGTAGCAGCCGCCGTGGAAGTTTCCATTTTTTCTTCATCCGAATCGCTTCCTAGATCGACATTTTCATCGTCTAATTTTCCTTCGTCGTCCAATTCTTCATCCGATCCAGCTAACAGCTTACGTTCGGTCTCCTCGTCGTCAACAGGATTATTCAAGTCCATATCTTCGGTATCGTCCATTGGACTCATAATATTTCAAAAGTAAAGAAAATATCAATTTCACTGCTCGATATCGTCAAGGACTCTTACGGGGCAAGACTTGGCACGCACAAAACAAGCACCGACTTTACCAAAATGATTGTTGCCGCGAGTTGCTGCGATAGCGACTACACAAATACTGTGGCATATAGAAATCCAACAGACAATCGCGAGCCCTACTAAGACACGTGAAGGTTATGTATGTTTATCGTCGCGGTTTTTGCCGCACACATTTTACGCGCAGGCCGCACTCCGTACAGCGCATTGATTCGCAATTCGCATATATAATCGAATTTACTGATTTGCAAATCGCATTCATACATCATTCGACGAATTTCGATTTCTGAATTTGATCGAGGATGACTCGTGACAATGGTCAAAGACTTTTAAGGAATTTTTATCTCAAGAATACACTGTGTATATTGATCACCGGTAAAATAAAAACACAATCGGTAAGCATCTTTATGCATTTTAAAAGTGTAGATGTAAATTTTAAAATTTAAATCCCCATGAAAATTTTGAAGAAACATTAATTAAAGTTTAAAAGCTCTAAAAGATGATTGATTATAATCAATGATATTTTATTGGTATGAATAGTTTTATTTCTTTTAAAAGTTAATAAAAATAAATTTTATACATACTTTTCAGGAATAAAATTTAAAATTCAAATTCAATTTTCATTTAGATTTTATTCTCGAAAAAAAGAGGAATCAGTTTCTTTAAAATATCTCAATTGTCCTTGTATAGAATGTACATATACAATATTGTCATAGCCACTTACTCGGTATCGTTTTGTAATTATGTGTTTATTTATTTATGATGTTGTATTGTATCATCTTTATTGATGATGTAACTAGGACGAGGCCAAAGAAAATAAATATTATATTAATTTCAAAAGTTATTCAGGATAGTAAATGCAAGCGAAGCGCCACCGAGGTAAGGCGCGCTCTGTATATGAATGATATTATTTATATATTTACACTAGAGTTACTCCTGCTCGCTTTGAATTGAATTGCTGATGAGGCGGATTAATAGACTGAGTTTGCGCTTTCACATTGTAACATTAATGAGACGTGTAGCGAACTTCCTACCTGCTGCTGCAGTATTCATTCATTATTCGATTGTCAATATCGCGAGAAAAGTAGTACAATTTTGTCTAGATTCTAAATTATCATTTTTATTTATTTTTTTATCAGTTTAATTTGTATTAGTTGAAACTGTATTTAGTTTATATTTAAACGTTTTTAATCTGTTTTGTGATATTGATGAGTGACGTGCTACAAAAAGTATGCTTTTAATGCCTCGTATTGTTAAATTGGCATAGGTAATGAAGCAGCTCCTAAAAAGAGAAAAAATCTCAAGAAGTATGGTTACTCAAAAAGAAAATCAATTAAGCGTAAAAAAGACAAAAAGAACGGATTGGTAAGTTATAAAATTAAATGTAGTCGCGGAGTTTTCGTTCAGTGAGTCAATTATTTAAGCATTCATTTCTACAATTTTAGTGGAATTACAAAAAATATTATTTAAAAGATTCGAAAAGACAAAAGAAATTGAATTACCTTCGCCGCAGAAAGAAGAAAAGAAAACATCGTAAATTTAAATGGACTCGATGATTGCGATGGGACACGGTGACGAAAAAATCCACTCAATTTCGTGAAATGATAAAGTACGTAAAGAGCTCGGCTATCACCCACTAAAGTATACACAGATCCAAAAAGTAACAAGTAAAATCATAAAATGAATTTCAGGGTTTTGTGCCGGAAAAGTTGTAAAAAATGTATCGTGCAGCCGGTACACTTTGCCTAATTATCTGCGTGCTGCAATTGTTATTTTCGCTTGGACAGAGTCAGTGCCCAGAGTATTTCCGATACTACCGAAATGAGACAAATGGTGAAATATCAGGACTCGTGGAGATTCCATCTCCCCCACAAGGTGTACCCTTGCATCTAAGCGTCATTTTGAGCATTGCAACAGTTTTACCTACCGTAAGTTGGCCTTAAAAGTTTTTCTTCAAAAGGGTAATTAATTGTGACTCTTGATTCAGAAATACATGGGCAAATTGGAACTGGCCAAATCAAAAGATGAGTCAGTTCGCGATGTGCTTCAGGGTAAATCGTTGTACTACCGAGTTCATTTTCCTGTGACTCGGCCTTTTCCAACAGTGTTGAGTATATCCTTGAACGATATCCTTTTTTGCCGTGGAGAACCAGGTGCTTTTTCATCTTACAACTTATGATATTTTTAGTAGTTAATGTCCTAATCAAGAGCTCTATTACTAATGATCAAACAAATAAACTTGCAGCGTACGGGGTAGTCGTGACTAACATTATCCTGGAGCACACGCTGTATCCTCCCCGAGTGATTATCCCCACGGCGGAGCAGCTACTGAGTTTTCTCTCGGATCAAACGACGACGGCAGCCTACGATGACGTTCTACCGATCAATTTGATACCCTCGTTCGATACCACGACCGAGAAACGTCGACCACCGAGTACCACGGAAGCGCCAACTACTACTACCACTACTACTAATTTGGCGATTTATACGGAGCCGGCGACCTCCAGGCCGATTAGTAGCGACGACTCTTCGTCGTGCGGAGTCGTGAGTTCCTCCTACGGTGCTTCGGTTTCGAACAAACGCGAGAATTGGCCCTGGCTCGTCGCCATATTTACGAAAAAGGAGAGTTTGGAGTTTCAATGCACCGGCAATCTCATATCACGGACGCACGTAATCACGGGTACACTCAATTTTTCAGGCTCTATCGTATTAACGATTTCATTTCTAATCGCGATGTTTTATGTGCTTAGCCGCGCACTGCTTGCAAGAGGACGTCGACGTGCCCATTAGGGCCGAGCAATTGATCGTCGCGCTCGGCATACACAATATACGCAACGAGCAAGAACCCGGCCAGATCCGCGTCGGCGTTCGAAGCTACGACTTTCATCCGGACTACAAGAATCCCGATAGCGCCGATTCCGATTTGGCCATCGTCAAGCTCGCGGAGCGCGTCGAGTTCTCCGCCCAGATTCGACCGATCTGCCTCTGGATGAGCCGAACGGATCTGAAGGACGTCGTAGGAAAAAGCGGCTACGTCGTTGGCTGGAGTCTGGGTGGCAATAACGGCCGCTACAATCCAGAGCCGCGGGCTTCCAGAGTACCCATCGTTTCGCAGGTCAGTTCTAATTTTCCACGAGATAATTTCAAAAATATACGCCCTCGTCTCTAACGACCGTGTGAATCTTAAGGAAGAATGTCTCCGAAGCAACGTCAACTTTGCCGACATCGTGTCCGAGAGGACTTTTTGCGCCGGTAGACGCGACGGAAAGGGCCCTTGCGACGGCGACAGCGGCAGCGGCCTCGTCATGTTTCATCCGCGCCACGCGCGTTACCATCTCCGAGGCATAGTTTCCATCATGATGTTGGACATCAGAACGAGAAGCTGCGATCTTCAAGAGTACGTGATCTACGTCGACGTAGCCAAATATCTGCCTTGGATTCGCCAACAAATATATTATTGAGTAATTTTTTTTTATCACTTTTTAAGACTTACAAGTGACGACACAATTTCGTGAACATTTTGTTGTGTAAATTGTGTACAGACAGCACTCGCGAATTTTAATTGTGCCTCCAAATATTTTTTAACCATCAACATTTTGAAAGTAATTAAACTTTTAGCAGTTAGTTATTCATCGGATTAATTCATGTTGTATGGACATTCGACTTTTTCAGGTGAAAGGAAAAGCACAAAGATTTCGTCTAAAACGAGTTTGTTATTTATTTTTATTTTATATACGTATTAAAAATATGTATGATCTTAAATAATAGAATATACAATCTATTTTCATATAACGAAAAAATATATTATATATATTTTAAAATTTTATTTATACTTATATTAAACGCTTTGGGTGAAGGAATTAGTACCAGTTACTCGAAATTGATACATGATATTAAAAACGCCCATTTCCGTTGATAGTTCATCAATTGCAAGATTAAAAACTTTGCTCGAACGCGAGCGATTGAAAATACATTTGTTCTTTTTTTCGCAACTGTCTTCAAAAGAATGATGTTCATCGAAGAATATTTCATCATTTAATTGAAGAGATGAGAATGCACACGAAAATTAATAATTTTTATAATTTTTCATTATTCCCATACAACACACATTTGAATATTTACACTCCAATTATTGTCGCTAGAGTAAACTTAGAAAAATCCAAATCGCTTCAGTGATTAGAACATGAAATTTAAGTTGGATCCTGATAGGGATTATTCGTGTTTTAAAATCACATTTAAAAGAATGGAATCTCCAAATTAAAAATTTTAAATGATTTTTTGCAAAAAATATGCGACATTAAACTTTCGGTTTCGTGATACTTAAATGATAAAGCGCGTTATCCAACTAAAGTTAAAGCAGGTTCATTACGTCTGCATGTCACAGGAATTTTTCTTTAATATTGAATTTTAATATTACTGTTAATGTCTAATTGACTGAAAAAATTCTAATGTGATACTATGATTATAATTTCGCATTTACAAATTTTACACCGCGAACAATTTAAACTATATATTTAAAATAATTAATCATACTAATAGATACGTATGATAGATAATTTTTTTTTTTTGATTCGTCATTAAGTTCCAATTAAATGACTGTTTCAATTTTGATCAATTTAAATTTCGCTTTAATTCATTAAATTTTAGTACTATAAACTTACTTTCTACGACTGTTAAAATATTCAAAAATAAAATAAGTAATTTGACTACGAGAAAGACGACTATTGTGCAGTTTCTTTTTAGAAAGAAAATTACAGTTTTAAAAAAGCATTTGCCGTAGAAAAAATTCAACAGTGTTATTGCATTGTTTCACGATTTTCGGTCATGAAATAAATAGTAAATCAATCTTATTTTGAAATAGTACATTAAATACCAAGTAATGTAAAAAACTAGAATGTTCAAGATCACGTGTATATTATCGATTAATGGAAAACCGAGATTGAAATACGTGACCTAAAGTGCATTTTTTTACATCCTGTTTACTATTTTTTGAGAATCCTCTAGCAAAAATTTACATTTTTGTAACTTTGACCAAAATGGAAAAAATACTTTTCGCTAGAATGGCAAAAAAATGATTTTTTGCCGATAACCATTTTCACAATAGAAATGTTATGTTATTCGTTACATGAACAATATTGTCAACAAATTGTTTCATTTTCTATGAATTTGTAGTTGTTTCTGGTATATTCAGTTGAAAATGTTGTCTTGCAACTGCCCCTAAAACTATTTCAGCACTGAATACTCCTGAAAAAAATTATTCATTGAGTAAAAATACATATTCCTATAGCCCTATGTATGATAGAAATTAATTTGCTCTCAGACTTAAACTAGATGAGTAAGGCATAGCGTTGTTCATCCTCCACAGAATTTCAAAAATTCAATGTCTGTTAATTTTTTTCATCATTGAGCCATGCAATCGAGACAAAACTTTTATAGCCAATTGAGAATGAACTCAATCACATTGGCGTGAAAAGTAAGTCACAACACATATTCTATCAAACAAGCGATATAATTTTCAAATAAACTTACTAATCTCTGCTCGTAGAACGTCAGCAAGGAGGTGTAAGTCATTTTCTACTGTAATTATTATGTAATCAAACTTTCCATTGCTATTCATTTCTTGTATTTGAACAAGAGATCGTCTATTTTTTTCGAACGTGCCTCCAGCACTTTCGATTATTTCTGCCATGACAGATGGAGCGGGTACCACTCCAGGAGTAACATAAAATATTTTATCCTAGAAGTAATATTTTATCATAGAAAATAACTTTATTTAATTAAAATTTAATAATATATCTTTGACATTTACTTTGAGAATACTTCCTCGATTAGGACTAGCTAAAGCTTTCTGAATATTGCAATTAAACGTTTTTTCAAATTCTGGATTATCCAGCGCATATTGACTTTCGTCAAGGAAAGTATTTTGTGTTGAAGAATCCAACAACCAATTAATACTAACGATGTATTTACAACGTGACAGACAACATAATAGTTTTACAGTTCTTAAAGCACAATTCATCACTAGGTGAGTTGAATCTTTCCAACTCGCAGCAAGAGTGCCACCTAACTCTCGTATGCGCTAAAAGCATATCAATAATAAGACAAAGAAATCATTGAGGATAGTAATAAGGCCAGTGTGGGTATTGTACTTTTGCATGTTTCTTTGGATTAATTCCAGAAAATAATATTTTCGGTTGATTTTCTGGAGTAGGTGGATTTGGATTAGTCACAGTAATTGGCTCATCCAGACCTAAAAGATGCGGATCTTTGCTCGACAGCGATCCTTCCAGCCTTGGTTTCTTATACTTTCTCATAGCGTTTGGACCTTGGCCGACTTGTTTCACCTTATCATAAGATTCTTGGCTGACGTTTATTGGCATTTTCCAACCAGCTGTAAAGATAATACAATTTATAAGTATTTGACAATATGATTAGAAAAAAAAAAAAAAATAATAATAATGAAAGTAAATTATCACTCCATTTTACCCATAAGATGAGGAACAAGAGAATAATCTAATCTAAATGGATTTCCTATACTAAATTGTTGATATTTGAAAGCATCTGTTTGATGTATGGCATTTACTTGACCGCACAATATATCTGTAAGCCACTGAGCATTTACAATACCCGTTTGCCACTCCTTGGCTTTTTTGTACTTCATTCCCTCGGGCCTTAAATGAATGCACAATTATTTTGCGAATACTCGAGTGTATAGTATTTTCAAAACTCTAGTATACCTTCGACATATTAGCAGTGTATTATGTTTTGAGAAGTATTTTGTGCATTTTGCTCCAACCGCGTCAAGCATGAATTTGACTTTATTACGTTCATCCCCTTCGAAGCCAGACAACGATATAATATGTTTGCTACAAGGCAAATCATTTTGACCAAATGGAGTTGGAAAATGTAATGCGTGCCATGGAGGAAGCACTTGCTGTTTAAGCACAACGTCCGATAACCAATATGCTGATACACAACGAGTACCTTCGCGCATGGCTTGCACCACAATGGGGTGTTTTTGAGTCATAGATAATACGTGAGTGGCCCGCGGGCAGTACTGTGGTTCAGTCTCGCCACCGTGTCGCTCGATTACCTGTTTCCATACGGCCACTCTCTCTGGGCAAAGGGTGTCGTACTCAACGATAACGAAGATACAACCGAGCAAGAATAGATCTGGAGGTACTGTTACCAATCATATTAAGAGGTATAGTCAATTTTAGAAAAAAAATTAGTTCTCACTTACGTTTTAAGTCGGGATTAAGTCCATAAAACTGGACCTTAGACTGCTGCGGGGCTGTTGGTGAACATTGCATTTTAGCCGCGCCTCCAGGAGTTGTCCCGTTTGTTATATTACCTAGAGTTCTTCTTTGATAGGCTGCAAGAAGTTGAGGATCTTGCGACGGCGGTGGTGGCGGCCTATGCTGAGCAGTCATGAGTCGCAATTGACCAGCTGCACTACCTTCGGCTGCACCGCTTTGCAATCGGCTAGTAAGCATATTTGCCAATGCTGTTTTCGTTTTAGCATTAACAACTAGCTGTTGCTCGGGTGTCAGTTGTGCACTACTGGACATTGGAGTCATCATATTGTCAGACTGAATCAGTTGTGGCGGTGGCTGCGGTTGCTGCTGTTGTTGCTGTTGCTGAGCATTCTGTTGCTGCATTTGTTGTAACTGCTGCATTCTAGCAATTTGTTGTTGCTTTTGCAATTGTAGCTGTGCTATTTGCTGTTGAGTCAGAGGTTGTCCTTGTTGAAATTGTGCTCCCTGAACAACTTGTGGATTTTGGACAGTTTGATTTGACTGAACAATTACCTGATTACCAGTGTTAATTGAATTAAGTGTTGCGGGTTGTCCCATAACATGCATTTGTGTTGGTTTTTGAGGTACAGCAGTGGCAACCTAAAAAAAAAAGAGTAAAATATTAGATTTTGATAATATTAATAATCATAATATTAATAATATTAATAATTCAAAGTGCTTCAATAACTTACTTGAGGTCCCATCATTTGTGGACGAGGCTGAGAGACCCACTGTATACCACCAGGCTGACCAGGTGTACCAGGACTTCGTATTACTGCAATTTGTGGGCCCGGAGGGACTCCTTGTTGTTGGCGCTGTTGACGTTGGAATAATATTGTTTTCTGTTTCTGAAGTTTCTGAATGAATTGAGCTCTTTGCTGAGGATCTAGCTGTTGCAATTGTTGATGTGTTTGGGCATCAAGCTGAATGAGTTGTCGGGGTGGTTGTTGGACTTGTTGTACCCATTGTCCACCTGGTCTCTGTTGACCAGGGACTTGCTGCTGCTGTTGCTGTTGTTGTTGTTGTTGCTGTCTTTGCAATTGTAATTGGTATTGCTGTTGCTGCCATTGAGGATCCCTTTGAACCATGAAACTTTGCTGATTTTGGTTTACTAGCTGAGGTTGTTGAGGTATTTGATTATCTTGACGTATGACAAATTGTTGTGAACTTTGAGGAACAGATTGTTGCAGTTGTTGAGATATCTGTTGAATCTTTTGCTGTTGCAACAATAACATTTGTTCATTTGTGAGTTGGGGTTTTTGAACTAAATTTTGCTGTTGTTGCTGATTCAAGTGAGCTTGTTGCGACAATAATTGTTGTTTTTGTTGCAAAACTAGCTGCTGCTGGGGGTTTAACTGCTGAGATGAAATTTGTGGCTGAGTAATTAATTGTTGCTGAGATGTGATTGGTTGAGGCATTATTTGCTGTTGTTGTTGAACAATTGTTGGTTGGGATTGTATATTCTGTTGTGGAATTTGTTGCTGAGTAACCAATTGTACTTGAGATGGTATTTGTTGCTGAGTGATTAATTGCACTTGTGGTTGCATTTGTTGAGGCATAATTTGTTGCTGAGAAATTATTGGTTGTTGTGCTTGTTGCTGCTGTGCTATTTGTTGTTGTTGAACATTCATTTGGGATGTAACAATTTGTTGTTGTGGTGAAATAGTGTGCTGCATCAACTGTGAATTAATTTGAGGGGACATTAAACCCTGAGAAACTACCTGTTGCTGTTGATTTATTTCTGATTGTTGTGATATTTGCATCAATTCTTGTTGATTAATAACCTGATGTTGAACTTGTGGAAGATTTTGTGTAATAATTTGTGAATTTTCTTGTTGTGTAGGAGACTTCAAAGGAAGTACATTATTCGTCATTGCCGTTGAAGTCCAATTGTTTTGTTGAATGTTATTTTGTACTGAAGATACAGGAATATTGGAATTATTTTGCACACTAGTGTTAGCATTACTCCACTGAAACTGTTGCGTTTGAACTAATTGTTGCTGTTGATGCATTGGTTGCTGCTGCATAGGTTGTTGTTGCTGCATTTGCTGTTGCTGTATAGGTTGCTGTTGTTGCATTGGTTGCTGTTGCTGCATTGGTTGCTGTTGTGTTTGCAAAGGCTGCTGTTGTTGCTGCTGCATGGACTGCTGTTGTTGCATCAGCTGTTGTTGTTGCATCAGTTGCTGTTGTTGTAAAGTTTGCTGTTGTTGTAAAGGTGGCTGTTGCTGTAAAGATTGCTGTTGTTGTAAAGATTGCTGTTGCTGTAAAGGTTGCTGTTGTTGAATAGTTGATTGTTGTTGCATAGCCTGCTGCTGTTGTATAGGTTGCTGCTGTTGTAAGGGCTGCTGCTGTTGTATAGGCTGCTGCTGAATTGGTTGCTGCTGTTGCTGTTGTTGTTGCATTGGCTGCACTATAGTTTGTTGTTGCAGTATAGGCTGCTGTTGTTGTAAAGTTTGTTGCTGTTGAAGAACTTGTTGTGGCTGTTGAATATTTTGATGTTGCAGCATGTGTTGCACAGGTTGTTGTTGATGCAAGATTTGTTGTTGAGGAGGTTGTTGATTTTGCATAATTGGCTGTTGTTGCACATTTTGTTGTTGAATTTGCTGTGTTTGCTGCAGCTGAGATTGTATTGATTGATCTATATTATCAATATTATTTAGAGATGAAACAGTTGAAGAAACAGTTGTGGACGCAGATGGAGAGGAACTTGATGCAAGATTTTGATTCTGAGATACTACTTGATTTTGCATAGGTAAGGCAGGTTTAGATTGATTCCATGGCATTCTTTGTTTTAACTGTTCTAATGCAACTTTAGTAAGATCTTGATCATCTTGAGATGCAACTTGATTCAAATCTGTGTCTTGAAAACCTGTAATCAATGCTGTAGAGGTATCTGGTGGCGACTGTACCAATAAGTTTGGATGATAATCTACTTCCGATATAATACTCTTTTTTTTACAGCAATCAACTACCCAATCTGGCGTAACTATATTTATCTGATGACTAGAAGCAGCCTTGAACTTTGTACCACTGGTGTTTGTTGTAATTAAATGTGTGCAAGTACTATCTAGCAGCAATTGGCATTTTCCACCTTGAAAAGTGATCATAGCCCATATTGATTTACAGTCTGCTTGACTAACTTGTGATACACATGCTTTGACATTGGAAAATAATTGATTTTCTTCAGGTGAAAAATAATGGGCAGGAAGTAACCTTTTACACAAAACAGAACACACAACCCATTTTTCTGTCACAGCTGGAATAACATAAATATCTTTGGCGGTAGATATGTCTGTTTCAGCTGCATCATTGCCTGCGATGAGATGAGTAGTGTAATCACTCAAAAAATTAGATCTTTCAGCTCCTCCTTCATGCAGAAGATTGAGAATCTAAGGAGGTAAATTATAAATTTTGAGTTAATGTAAGAAGTTGAAATGATTTGTAAGTTGTAATGTACAAAAAAAACCAAATAATGTAAAACTGTCATAATTGTATCAATAATAAATAGAAATTAAATTGAATAAATTTCACAAAAACAATAAAAAAAAGTTAAAATAGAGTTAAATAATGAAGTTCAATTAACCTTTGAATCAGCATCCCCACTGAGATAGTACTTGACTTGGGCAAAGATCCTATCATCTAGCTTGAACTCTTCGATACCGGCACTGATGTCGCCCATTTCGATGGCAAACAATAATTCACTGGGTATCAAAGACGGTATTAAAGACTTAATAACAAGTCACTGTATCTGCTTAAGTGTATTTAGCATAATCACAACACGCACTACTACACAGTGTTTAGATCATTGATCTATCACGATCTGTTGTTGTTTGCGTTTGACTTCCCCACCTGTAAGGTTATGTCGCGTATGTGTACGCTCCTCGAGGACGAATGTTTACGCGCTTTGATACGGCTGGTGGACGGTAGTGGGAAATTCGTACGACCACGCGTCTGGTGTGTTGCGCTCGCGGCTACTGCTCACAGTTTACTGTCCTCCTCTCACACCAGAGATTCCCGTCTCGACAGTCGACAACTTCTCGCTGTTGACTCCTACAACAGTCAATCTCATACGCGTACGTCTGACAGAGTGAAGCTGTAATCCCCCTCTCCCCCTTCCCCTCACCTCATGCTACTATCGTTTGCGGCAACGCCGTGAAGATAACTCTTCGTTTCGAGCCGGCGGCCTTGATGTTGATTCTTGAGTCTTGACATGCATTGGTAAAATGCCCGATCAGTTTTTTTATTCAAATCAGACTAATTTTCAATTTAATATTAATAATAATTATGTGCACGGTTAATGTTATTGTTTATTCAGAAAATTCAAGATCTTTGAAACTTGAAAAACGAGTTTTTTGAAGGATGAATTGTTTACTTCATTTTTTATCAATTTTCTGAAATATTCTTTGTGCAATAACTTTAGAAAAATTAATCAATTAAGTGACCTTTATGATTTAATATATTAGGAGTATTTTAAAAATTTTCTGAATTTTCTTAATTAGGATTCATTTATGAATGCATGTCAAATAAATGATAACCAATCACATGAGCATTTTTAAAAGTAAAAAAAATGTATACAAAATTATGAAATAAACCAGTATGGTTTTAAATCTCATTTTTGATTTTTTCTAATAAAGTATTTGTTGGGTATGTTGGGTATGTTTGAAAGTTGAACAATTACAAATGAAACTTGTGTAGTTTTGGATAAAACATATTTTTTATTGATTTTCTTCAATTCATTAACAGCTATTATTTATCTGCAACAGACAGAAAAAAAATTAAATTAGTTGATTGTATAATTTTTATTATGAGAATATGTAAGTTTTTTTTAACAAATCAGAATAGAACGAATCAACAAGATATTGCGAGTGTTGTACGCACTCTTTCAGTCCGCCCGTTCAATATCATCATTATTTTATAACTGTAAGCATTTAAAATTGATTTTTAAATGTTTTTTTTTTCAAAGAAGTAACTATTATTCTAAATTTTAAAAATTACATAAGAGAAATATGAAAATGGATATCATTTATTTACCTTACAATTTATGCACTAAGTACACAAACTCCTCCGGCTTCTTTGATTTTATCTTCAGCTGATTTGCTGAAGAATTTAGCCTTGACAATAACTGGCTGTTTTGGAATACGTCCTTTTCCAAGAAGTTTATAGTATCCCTAAAAACGTAACAGTAGCAATTAACAAATGAAACAAACTTAAACTTTTAAAATTTAAATAATTTATGAAACTTACTGCTTTGACAAGATCAATGACAGGAACTTTTCCAGTTTCAGGATCAGCATTTTTGTACTTCTGCCTGGTCTGTTCTGACACAAGTGTCCAGAGTTTATCCAAATTCAGAGTGGGACAAAACTTCTGATTCCTACGCAAATGGTAGTTGCGCATACCTAACTGTAATTATAAGGATGATTCAATATGTAAGTAAAAATTATAATGAAGTACTTAAATTGTTTAAGATTTTTCTAGGAAATATAAATGTAGCCAATGTAGCTTGATGGTAAAAACATTCTTCTCACTTTAATTTGATTTGACTCTATACATAATGATAAATCTGTACATACCTTTCCAAAGTATCCAGGATGGTACTTATCAAAGTTGATGCGATGGTGGTGCATACCACCGGCATTACCACGACCACCAGGGTGCTTGCGGTGCTTGCCTAGAATGAAAAAAAAAATATTGGTAAAATTACTTGAATTTACTAAATATATCAATAGTATATTGTTTAAGACTCGAGTAACATACCAATACGTCCATGACCATGGCTCACATGTCCTCGCAACTTCCTAGTCTTCTTCTTATGTGTAGACTGTAAAATTATAAGAAAATATTTTTAACAAATGGTAGGGATGAAAGATTTTATGATGTATGAAAGCATTAATTTGAAGCATTATTATAAAAAGTACACCGGTACACAACGTGCTCTTAAAGGTTAGGTAAACGGCACATGGGCACATTTTTCAATAGTAAAATTGAAATTATTCATAATTATATCGATTGCAGCACGAGTCACGATTAATGAGACAATCATTGAAAATACTATTTTCATTTTTAAATGTTTAATTTTAAATAATTTAACTTGTTTAACAAAATTCTCACCATATCGACGTGATAGTGTGCGACTCTCACGCGTAAAAAAGAGACGTTGCTTCCTTAGTCGTCTTGTTTTCGGCTCAGCTGGTGGGAATTTGCCACAGTTTTGATACGGTCATTAACCAGCAGAGTTATTTTGAATTAGTGGCGGGAATCATGAGCTAGACGAAAGTTAAATCATAGGTTTACATTACATTTGCAAAGAAAATTGCAAGGTATTTCGATAAGGAGCAGATGCGGATTATCAGAAAACTCAGTTATAGTATAAAAGGGGAATTTTTCATGTTTAAAAATGTTGGAAATTAGTTTAATGCGAGGAGCGGAGTGCTTTGTGCAAGACCAGAATAAATGGTTGAGGTCGTTATGATCTTCGTTGCATTCACACCAAGGTGGAAAGGAGAGATTTTTTCTTTAAAGACTGTTCGCTAAGTTGTTTAATATTAAAAATAACAAAAAAATACGAATAAATTTACATAATAAACTTTATTTTTTAAGAAATTACAAAAAAAATTTTTTTCATCGCAAACTTGAATGAATAAACTAAATTACACTTGAATAATGAATAATTTATTTTAATACAAAAATTAACTTATTTTTCTTTTAATTGGTTTTTTGAAAGAAAAAGAGTTCAAAAATTATTTTGAGAATATGTTTAGCTTAATTCGTAAAAATCAAAAACTGAACCTACTCGCGATTATATACAATTATACCCAAACAATTTACTCAGATATCTGTATGGGTGTAAAATGTCATTGAGCTTTTTAGCTCATTTACGGCTAAAATATACAAAATAACTCAATTTATAAGCGCACTATCGAGGATGGTTATATTGTTTCAATGAACAAGTGAACACTGATGTCAAAAAAACTGACTATGATTTTGAGGATTTTTGTAGAGATTCAACACTTTTTTTTCAATTGAATAATTTAAAATTTTAATTTTCTAATCCTTATGTATGATTTAAAAAAAATGTTGATTTTCTCATAAAAAATCTTAAAATGTACGCATGCCTCAAACAGTTTGAACAGGGTTGAAAACGCTATTGACTCGTACATCAAGTTCACATCACTAGTCGAATATTACAGTGTTTGATTAACTTCTAGATAGTTTGCGCAACCAAACGATATATGTTTGTAGTAATCACCTGTACATACGCGTTTACCTGCACGTTAGTTCAGTGCCGATAATCAATTTCTGGGAGGAAAGTGTACTTCGTAGTACATCTACTCTCCATTTAGGGAAATTAATGATCATTTTAGTAATATCGTCCCTAAATTAAGTTGGGGAAATTCAGATGTGGCCTGTACAAATATAATTCTATATGTAGTAACCTAATATCAACGGAAGAATTTATATAATATTATAAATGAACATTATAAAAACTAGAAAGATATTAGTAACGAAATATTAAATTTTTCCATTCATTTTAATTTTATTATTTATTTTTTTATTATTAGATCTATAAGAATCTATTAGAAAATAACATAAAACAATTTTATTGCTTTAGTAAAAATTTTCAATATTAATATTAACCTAACGAAAAAAAAATGAACGTTTAAAATATTTTAAGGTACATATTAACTTTAATTGGCTTGGTCGTGGCAATTCTACTGTTACAATTATAATACTAATATTAAGCGCATTTTAAATGGTCTGAAAATGACGATTTAATTGTTTTGAAAAATTGAGCCCAGTTTCCAATCATTTTGGATGCGACAATATTACTTTGAGTCTTTAACACTAGGTGGCGAGTACCTTTATCTGTAAACCTGCAAGTGGCAAAGTAAACCTAATTGTATAAGTTCCAAATGAAGCTCAATAGTGCTTATGGTTTGCTAATGTCAATTTACACTTTTGATATGTGTATCCTGTTCTAATGGACCTTTTATCTTCAAGAAATTTTTTCGTTTTTCAAAAACTTACCATGAAACGTTAAGTATTACTACCAGGGTAATAATGATGCCATTATAAGTTCAATCAATTACTGTACATCTTCTTGGACGTAAAGTATCTTTGTAAAATAGCCGATGTACATTTCCCCATGATGTTATGTTAAATAATACGTCTGTATTTTCATGTAAGATTGAAGTTGTAGAAGCTGAGGGTCGGGAAAAAGCTAAATGGTCACATCTGAAAGTTTTCTCTCTTCATTATTCTTTGCAGTGGTGGTCGTCGTCGTTGTCGTCATTGTGCTTGTCAGCGTCTTGCTGCACACGTATACATACGTATACCTACGTAGTAGACGAAAGCTCGCGCTTCAGAGAGACGGACTGACGGACACATGCACAAGTACATACCCTCTCACACCTACACCCGCGCATACATATATATACGAAAATACACGTTGAGACTGAGAGCAGAAGAGAGAGAATCTCTGGTGGATCGATCGATCGGCGCGCTGCACAATTGCGCGCTGGTAGCATCGCCTGCATCGCCGTTATACTCGTCGCAAGTCGTCGTTCCTGATGCTGCTGCTGCTGCTGATAGTGAGCGACGCCAAGAGGATTTACGATCGAGTTTCATGTATTTACAGTGTAGGACGTAGTGATACTGACTGCTGCGCACACATACATGCAGCAGGATTCAGTGATATCGATGTGTACGTAGGCAAGGCCGACGTTGAGCTTCAAATAATGAACGATCTTGATGCAGAGAATACATCTACATACACAATCAGTAAAAGTTCTACTACACGTCCGACCAGCCTTAACTCAGCTTTAGTCGCGTATAGCTTATTATACAGTATGGTCTATCGTTTGGCTTTTCTTCTTTCGTACATTATATTTAGCCAATGTGGATCGAGCCTTTATCATTTATCAAAGCCTGAAATATCCGAGACACCCATACGTAGCTCAATGAATTTTCCAGCCTATCGTGAAAATCTCCAGTCTATATTGCGTTCGTGTTGCATAATTACGTGTTATTTTGATAGGCCGATTACTCGCGGACCTCTGGCGTTTATTTATATATCGGAACTTCACCGGCCTTGACCCAAGCGCGCTCGCTCGCGAGTATATAAGCAATAATAGGGTCGAGAATCTCCTGCGCGCTCTTTTCTTCTTTTCTTTTCTTACATATATTACTGCAGCTTGTGTGTGCATCGTATTGCAGCAGCTCTCTTAACGTATTGTCCAACATCTATTTCTCAGGGAAATGTGCATTATTATGCCCGAGAAAATTATTACTTTTTTTTGCATTGTAAACTCGTGTGCAGCGTATTCTGCTTGATGTACTTCTTTAGCGAGTATTAATAATGATGCCGAATGAAAATAATGATGTAAATTTAATGATCACGTCGGAGTCTTTCGTATGAAATATCATACTTGAGCTACTGAGACATCTTGTCACAATTTTTTAACAGCATTATTTAGTAATTTTTTTTTAGTATTACCCGTCGGAAGGAAAATATTGAAGTCAAGTTGTTCTTTATCATCTGCAATGTTAATATACCGGGATTTGCATGACAATATCGTAACAAATTATAATTGACGAGTTCGTATTGACGTTCGGATTGAAATGATAAAAAAATATTCCAGATTTTTTGTAAAAATACAAAGTATGAAATTTTTAGTACGATCGACGTGCAGAGATTTCAATTGAAAATGTTCCAGACTCTGCTCGCGGTTGCATAGAAATCGAAATGACTTGCTCATCCGTGATTAAGGTAAAATGTGGGTAGTAATCAGTGCGTTCAATTCAAACTTGATTGAACTTTGCTGAAAAAAATATAACGAAATCCGAAGTACCAAAAAAGTTATATAGATCAACAAAAAAAGAAAGGCTATATCGAATAACTAAAAGCTTAGATATCGTGAAAAGGTGTCAAGCAAAGACTTTGGAAGTCGAAACCGAAAGAGCTGGAAACCGATACACAGGGTAAAATCCGAGTTCAGGATAACGGACTCCACTACTCCGAGCGTGTGTATCGGTTGCCAAAGTCGCATCAATCGCGCGCGCGTGGGGGCTATATATATAGCTCTCATCTCGATCTTGCCGTCGGTGCTCGTGCACGCAGGGTGTGCTATAGGGTGGATCACAGTAGAGTCTCCCTTTACCCGTAGTCGCTTCTCTGCTCTCTCTTTCTCTTTCTCTCTATTCTATCTCTTGCGAAGCCATCCCCCGCAGCAGCAGCATCAGCAGCATCATTGGCGTCTCTCGTACACCTCTATATAAGTACGACGCGCGCATGCGGCCGAGGATTTCGGTTTTTTTTAATTCGTGGGTGTGGTAGTGGTTGCCGATGCTACTGCTACTGCTGCTGCTGCTCTATACTCAGTGGTGGCAGCAGCGACCAACAAGCGCCATACGTATGTATAGCACACAGATACTGCGAAGGAGATTATATTATTCGCGCGAGATACCGAGCAGCAGCAGCAGCAGCAGCGCTGCTCTCGCTTCTGCTGCTCGCGCAATTCCTCCTGCTTGCCCCCCGTGCGAGAGTGAGTCTGTGCTGCCGCTTTCTCTCTTTCTCTCTCTCTCTCTCTCTCTTCCTGCTGTATATAGTGCAAAATTTTGCGCTCTCGCGTCTCTCGAGCACGGTGCACGGTAGTAGGCGCCGAGTTGCGAGAGCGAGTGCAGCAGCAGCAGTAGCAACCTTAGTGGTTCGTGCTCTCCGAGTTTTACGTCGCACGTGCTTATCCTCGACTTTAGCCGACGCGACGGCTACACGTGCAGTGAGTGCGCGATCTCTCTCGTTCTCTCGCTCTCCGTAGTGTTTCTCTCTACACGAATTCTTCAGGCTTTTTTTCGTTGCCAAGTTCTCTCTTTCTTTCTTTTTCGTTTCGTTTGTTGGTTTTATTTGGTGTCAAAAGTGCGTCGATCTACGTCGTTCGCTCGCGTCGAGCAGCTGCGAGCAGCATCGGTGCAGCGCAGCGTCACTGCACGTCTGATCGGACACGGATCCATACTACTTGCAAAATCAAGATCGCGCGAAAAAACAAGTGCGTAACCGATTTCAATTTATAAAATAATCGTGGCAGTAGTTTTTAGTTTTTAGTCTAAATGCATGATGTGTGTGTGTTGTGAGTGCGAGTGTCTGCGCGGATCTATATAGCAATATAAAAGCCCGAGTGCGGCGTTATGTAACGGTCAGGGTGATTCTGATGCGCGAGTAGCGAGTGATACACGGAGCTTGTATATACCGACGTCACCCCTTTCGAGCTTTTCTCTCTCTCTCTCTCAGCTCTTCTCTCTCACGATTTGCAGAGAGCAACTTTTTGTCTCTTCTTTCTTCTTTCTTATACTAAACTATATTGTACGGGAGATCTGCTCTCCTGGATAATCCGTCCTGTTTATACTAACGCTGTAACTATACGAACTTTCTGCGTTTCAACTTGTAACTCGAGGAAACTCTCTTCTTCCCCCTCGCTCGCGCACACCTAGCTCGCACGTACGCTCGACGAGAAGCTATTTTTCACCGAGTTTCTCTTTTTCTTCCGGTGCCTTATTTTTTCTACTTTTCCACTGTTTAGTAGCAGCAACAACAACTGCGTACATAGATAATCACAAAGCAGCTTAGCGCGAATTCTTCTCGACGTTTTTTCGCGAGAGCAAAAGAGAAATCGGAAAGTCGCTGTTTAATGCGTTTGTGAGACGCGCAAGTATACTTTTTCAAGATCATTATTCAACTCGTATCTTTCTTTTTTCGTTTTACATTTTTCGTGGCTTATAATCTAATTCAGCTACTGCTCTTCTTTCGATTTTAAAAAACTCAAAAAAAATACGGATGCAGGGTAACTTTGCTTCAAATTATCATACTGATTATGTTCAAGGAGTATATGGTAATTAGTATTGATCTAATAACTTATCATAATTATTCGTTTGAGTTTTAATTTGCATCGATCCGCGCACTTGCACGTCGGTTGAAAAACGTAAAATTATAATCGATTTGTTTCGGCGCAAGCTCGACGATATAATATGCGCGAGTTTGGCATTTTTGCTGTAGCACGCAGAACCAGGTAATAAGAATTTCACAGATCACTCGATCTTAATGCTCGTAATACGCAATATAACGTAATGTACATGGATAAAAGAGAGCGGGGCATAATACGTCGCGCGTACGTGCGTGGGGTGGTAATTAAGATTGTTTCGAGGCACTTCATATTTTCGTAAAAAAGTGTATACCTCCAAGCAGCGCCCATGTAGTAACATTTAAGGCTAAATGCGGAGAAGAAAAATTGAGACTTATAAAAGAGCAGAGGCAGAGGCGGCGGACGAGGGCTGGTGCAGCAGCAGCGGATGAGTATCGTGAAAAGTACAAGTATATGTGTACCAGGCCTCGTTCTCTCGCTCGCTCGCGCCCCTTGGCTCGGAACGAGCGTATAATACGTACACAGTCGAGAAAGAGAAGAGCCAGCATGTACGAGTCTAACGATTATTTATCATCTCGCGCGTAACGCGCCGAGGCAGGCAGGCAGGCAGTACTTGGCTTGCTGTGTAAGCATCGCGCATCTCTCTATCTCTATCTCTCGGAGAAAAGCCGCAACGCTGCATCTAGACGACGACGTGTGCGTTTTTGTGTGTGTTACAGTGTGTATGAGTGAGCGAGATGTTACAAAACACTCGGGATAGTAAAGTAGCTAGAAAAACAGCCCCCGAGCACACGCGAGTGTAGCAGCAGCGGTAGCAGCAACCGTATATAATTCTAAAAAATCTTCACGAAGCAGTAGAGCAGTCTTTCATTGTTGCGTGCAGTATAGCGTGTGCACCTCTCTAGCTCGACTCGAGCTTTCTCCTCAGAGATAATAGATGAGAGTAGCTCGCGCGAATCCGCGGCACGTCGCTCGACGTCTCGAGACGAATTAATCACGTCGTACATATACGGTTCCTACGTACAGTTCCTTCGTTCATGTGTGGGTGTGTGTGTGTGTTTGTGTGGGTGCCTCGAGTCGCTCGCGAAAATGCACGCGCGCAGGTGCAGCTGCAGACGAGGCGTGTGTGTACGTGAGTGTGTGTGTGCAGACGCGAAATCAACGGAGCGAGACATTTGTAAAATCAAGCAGCAGCGTTAGGCAACTTCCTGCCTTCCGAGCTCTACCCACCCGAGCGCGTTCGGAAATTCTGACACTTCGTTTCCCTACGTGAGAGAGCTGGAGATGCAGATAGTACGGAGCAGTTCCTAAAAGGACTGCGACTATATTAGGAACACGCCTCTGCCCCACATTCAACCTTGAATAGAGATTAAGGCGATTCGGAAGAGCCTCCTCGAACTTGGTGTAATAGTGTCACGCGAGGGTGAGACGCGATTGATTTCGGATTGAATTTTTTTTTTCATTATACCCTGGTTGAAAGTTCGCCAAAACATGCTTGATATGCGGCTGGAAAGTAAGCCATTGCAGCCGCATATTTTGATGCGTAAACCAGTGCACATTGCTCTTTTTCAAGAAATATATTCTCTACACTGTTTTAAAATAAGACAGACGGACCTATAAATGTATGTCTCAGTCCCTAATTCTCTAATCTTAGTATCTGTAATGAAATAATAATTATTTTTTTTCTTTATGACGACAAGTGATCGCATTGACCGCAGCAAGTGATTTTTGTAAAATAAATAAAAATATTACAATTGTATTTAGAATTTCACAAAATTATTTGACACGACGGTAGGACGAAGTATTAAAATTTCTACAGATTCTTCTGATACTACAAAGTAAAATTTGTGAATCATAAATAGGAATTAACCTGAGCTAAATATCATAAACTTTTGTTTAAAGTTCTATGACAGTATACCTTAAAAGCGGCCCCCCCCCCCCCACAGGGGGCTTCGCCCCTTGCACCCTCACTAGGGCTACCACCCTGGACCCGCCACCCTCCAACCACCGCACAGTACAATAAAATTAAACACAACGCAACTACTATACCTATTATAATATGATAAATTCATACGATAGTATGCATTTTGTGTAGTACGCACTTTCGGTTATGCCATCGGCAACCGAAGTGGTTCTTCAGGGGAACTTCGTGCATGAAATTTTTAATTTTCGTATACGAAAATAGGGTTATCTCAGGTTATTTGAAATTTCGTTTACCAATTTTAGAATTTCGTATACGAATTTCCCCTGGATAGCCAGACCCACCAGTAACATACCATAACTTCACATGATAATAAATTTTGGGGGGTGGGCGAATTTTCGGCCGTCTATAATGAAAAATAGCATACGCACCACGGCTGGGAGTGGGACATCATAGCCGTGGGCTCGCTACCTGAGGCTACGCTTTGGGTAGCAACTCGCGCGTGGCTGTAATGACCCACTTCCCAGCCTAGGTACATAATATACTAATTTCGTCACTCGTCTAACTTTTCCTCTGTAACTGCGATATTTGTTTTTCAAGGCGCTTTCTTCCCGATTGAATTTTTGCGAGCCGCTCTTTTTGGATAAATTATCGCGTTTCGCTCTCGAGTATTTACGATAATTGTCGATTTCGACTGCGAAGATGAAAAGTGATTATTGAAAATGTTTTGAAATATATAATCATTGGCCGCCGTTTACACGACCTAAAAATGACCTTTCAATTGTTTTCAAAATTTAGACCAGTTTTCAACTACTTTACATACGATACTATTTCAAGTCTTCACCACTAGATGGCGAGTGCCTTTATCTGTAAATCTGCAAGTGGAAAAGTAAAAATAATTGTATTAATAAAGCATGGTTGTCAATAAATTTAATGATAGTAGTATAGATTCTAAGGCACCTTTAAGCGCGTTAGGGGGCTTAAAAGACAGGTATCGAGATGCTTCTAATTATCAGTAGTTTTTGTTAAATGTTGCAGTATTTTGTGAATGTCCTCACAATGAAAAGCACGTGATCATTAGACGGATCAAAGCAAAAAAAAAATACGAAAAAATTAAATATTTCAAATGCCTCTATACGGAGCTAGGATGCAATATTCCGGTCAAAACCTACGTCATTTTTTAGCTTATTACACACGTAATAATACCCCGGAGTTTAGGAAAAATTGGTGTTTCTCCGAGCGAACCTCAGCTATTAGAAAGCTAGAAAATTTTTTTAGCAATATTCAAATGGCTCTACAGCAGTTATTTTTGAAGCAATCAAAACTTTGAAAAAAGCAAATTAAAGGTCTTTTTAAGAACTTTAATTTGGCGGGTTTGAATTTTGATTTGCTTAAAAATTGACGGCTACAGAGCCATTTGAATATTGCTGTAAAGAAGCGGAAAAATTAATTTAAATCGAATTTAAAAATTTTCAAGCGACTGGCGACACGGGTTATCTCAATTTATGAGCTAAAATTTTGCAGAGACTATTTTTTTGGTACATATATAACCTTTTCCGTTGATCAAAAACCATTGTCAAAGAATTTCGAGCATTTCTTTGAGGGTTATACTCGCGTTTGTCAACTTTGCAAATCGAACGTGGTGGCTTTGTTCCACAGCGTCGAGCGATATATCGATTGAAATGCACTCGATCATCATCTTTTTTTTTACGGCTTGCGCGAGCTTTATACTTATATACTCGTGGCTGCGCGCCCGTATCGTGCCGCGCGCACTCACCCACGTAGCCTCGTAGAGGCATATAATAAATTTGCAGTTATGGTTTATCATCCCGCGTGCATGGCAGCCTCGACACGTCTGCATGATCTGGATTACGTTGCCGTTTTATGATAATCTACTTATGCGCCCGCGATGATGACGTGCTACGCAATCTATTTCATCTATCTCGTAATAAATATTTCCTTCCGCGCGCGCCTGCTTCGATTCTTTTCTTCGGGATATGGTTTTTTTTTCATCGTTCGCCACGGTTCTATATTCACAAATTACAACTTATTCGGTGTATGAAATTTTTCATTTTGTCGGAGAGCTTTTTTCGACAGTTGACCTCGCTCTCGGGTTTCGTTGCGGCGGTGCACGAACAACCAAGAAAAGAATATAATGCAACGAATTTTCGGAAGTTATACAAGCTACTCACGTTACCTTGGCTCCGTC